TTTTTTTTTTTTTATTTATAGACGATTCCAACGTACAGACTGGAGGACAGAGCGCAAATTGAACTCTGAAACATTTGGTGTAGCGTCAACGAGACGCGGTGGTTTTCGTGGACGCGGTTATTATAATCGTGGAATGGGAGGCATGTATCGAGGTGGTGGTGCTGGTGGTTCTGGTTTCCGAGGTGGTTATAGAGGTTCCAGAGGTGGAAATCGTAAACCTGGTAACCAACAACAGCAAAATAATCCTGGCAGTCAAAATCGCACGACCAACGAACAATCTGCTACTCAATCACAGCAGAATAGTCGCGTTGTATCTTTTTGAATGAACAACGCACTACTATATATATAAGTATTCACTTTAGATTAAGATTTTTACGATACGTGCTCTGCCCTTATGGACTGATTTGAATTCGAGTTTCAAAAAGAAAGATTGAAAGAAAGGAATTAAGAGATAAAAAACAAAAAAACAAAAAAACAAAAAAAAAACAAAAAAAAAAACAAGAAAAAGTTCTTTGAGAGAACTTTATTGTGAGTTTTTTGTATTATCACGCAGGAATATAGGAAACTAATCAGTGCTTTGCAGATCCTGCGTTTAGAATTTCTGGACAAATAAAAATGAATCTTATTGCTATAAGTAGTTAATTTTCGAAAACTCGATATTCAAAACCATCATGTCCTACAAATTAAGGAATCGTCAAATGCTTCTGAATGTAATTAAGTACAATACACGCCGGACGGTAGAAACAAACGTATATTTGCAAACAAACATATATGAAAAACCAAGTTTTAAATTTTCAGTTGAGCTTTTGTTTGTATACTATTAATTAATTCGACAAGCATGCAACTCCGATTAAGTGAAAGAGAATCTCAAGGAAATTTTTGTAACACAACGTAAAAGAATAGAACGTGAAGATGGAAAAAAAAAAAACAAGAAAAAATGACTAAATAATTTTTCGCGTTGCATGTGTTATGATTTTGTGGAATCGAGAAATAAAGCAGTAATTATTCTTTTCTCGTGAATAAAAATCGAACAAAGAAAAATTAGAAAAACAGAAATAATAAAACATGCGTAAATCGCAAAATAGAGTAGGACAATATTATGGTTATTTGGAACAGTCAAAACTTTATTTATTTATGATGACCGTGTATGCGAATTAAGCTGAAATAATTATTTTACTCACGTATTTACCAGGGGGTTTTGATTTTCGAACAGGAACGTTAAATTGTTCCTTATATAAAGAAAAAAAAGATAAAAAAAAATAAAAAAAAAAAGAATTGATTTTGTATGATTCATAGAGATACGCGTGCGCACGCAAGGCCGAATCGTACATCGATTGTATTGACTATTAATTTTTGAAATATTGAACGTGGTATGCTAGTGAAAGAGAAAATGGGAGTGCGAATGCCTTCTTGTAGTTCGACTGCGTTTAATATCTTCGAGTCTCGAAGAAATCGTTTGATGTACGAGAACGTTGTGCGCCGATCGCGAGTAGCGTTGCGAGAGTAAGACTCTAAAAGCATGATAATGTCCTTAAAAATATAAGACGTAAAAAAGAAAGGCAGAATAAGTATATTATTTGCGACTGTTATTTTCTTATGGCTCGTATGGAGTCCCAAACGTATACAGATATATACATACATAACATGAGATTTAGTTGCATATAAATTGAAAACCTCCATAAGCTATCAGTAAAGTTGCAAAGTAAGGTAAAACTACAAAAAAAAAAAGTATAAATCATATATGAATAAAGATAAGTAAAATAGAAAGGAATATGGGGAAAGAAGAAATATAACTTTTAAGTTTTATGCATTACTCGTGTAAAGAAATGCACGGTATATGTGGTTTTCCGATGATGAATTTTTGTTTTGTACAGCGGATATTGTGATTCCCAATGCTGAATAATACTGAAGTAATAAAATAATGTTTGTTGTACTCTTTAAGCCCACTAATTACTTCGAGAAACATTTATTCAGGTAATATTTGTCAATTATTCTTGCGTTTTTCGTACATGTGAATAAATTGCTTGGCAGAAATAAAAAAAAATAAAAAAAAATAAAAAAAAAATAAAAAAAATAAAAAAAAATAAAAAAAAGTAATAACACTTGTAAAATGATATTTGCAGAACAAAGATTTAAGAATAAAAAAAGACTTGATCGTATAAGGAACCAAGTCATATCATTATTATCAACAATTTAATTAATTAAGAAACTTCTTAAATATGATGGCGATTGATTTATATACAAAACATCATGTGTATACGCGTGCATTATCTGTATAAATACTTAACATTGTATCAATGACTAACAAATACCAAGCAGCTTGAACCTCTTTTCCTCAATTACTTTTAAGTGATCGAAGAAAATTCGATTTGATCATTCGTCACTTCAACTTTCCACTTGCAATTCCTCAGCTTTATCGTATTTTGGGGAATTATTCAAACGAAAGGACAGAAAGTCATTGCGATCTCAACCCTTAGAACTTCTTGGAGAACGCAGATCATCATGGCCACTTATGTTCCAGCGTTATATGTCAAGCGCAGCTCATCAGACCTGTCAGTGTATTATCGCAAACTTCTCTTATAGGATGATCTCTTGTCCCTACTTTGGTTTCAACCACTGTAAAATTGTTTTTATATGTACGTCGCAAACTACGTGGATTTGGTACATAAACTTCGTACGGAGTCCGACCATTTTCAATTACCCATATACTACCAGATTCTGCGACTCTCAAGATCGACATTAAACCTTGAGCTACCACATATGGACTGTAGAGGGAAGACTTGATTAAAATTGGTTTTTTTCTTTTTGATTTAATTTTTTTTTTTAATAAAAATTGAAAGAAAAGAAAAACTTACGTTTGTATTGATAGTTGTTCGAGGGTTTTTACGAAGTCTGCCTTCATAACGCGAGAAAGTAATTTATTTGGGCTATCCACTGTAAGTGCAGTTTCTGTCAGCCCAGGACATAACGTTATCACACGAATACCAGTCTTTTCAATTTGGTAAGATTCCTAAAATAAATTCAAATTTATCCTTAAATTATATTCTTATTATTCAGACATTTTTATTATGTGTGTTTTGAAGACTGATTCTAAAATTCAAAGAAAAAAAAGCAGTATTCAACATGGTATTATGGTATTATCTAAAACGAAATATTTTAAATAATTAATTAATTAATTATTTAGCATCTTCTTAAAAAATTCAATGAAAATGATATTAATATTTTTTTTCTTTTTATAGAATATAGAATTAGTATTAAGAAAAGTAAAACTCAGAAAAGTATGTATAATTTAAAGCAACAATAAATTTACCGCGAGAGATTGTGAGAGTCCAATCATGGCATGTTTGGTGGCCGTGTAAATTGGAAGTTGAGCAGTGCTTTTAATATCTATGTGTTGACTAACGTTCACCAAAGTTCCTCCATGTCCAAGTTGGTTTTTGCTCAAATATTTTATAGCTAATAATGCGGTACGAACCATTCCTCCCTATGATATCAAATACAAGAATATTATGATTTCTCATTAAAAAAAATAAAGATACATACACACACAAATGGACAATAAAACAATCTCTTTATCACTTACAATATTAACTGCTATTTCTTTTTCCCATCTTCGTTCATCCAAAATACCAGCATTATTTATGACAATGTCAATATCATCCATAAAATTCAAAGCTTCCTCAAAAGCCGCTATAATTTTTACAAAAATATTATAAATTGAAAGCCAGATATCAGAACAAGTTTATATTAATTAATTAATATTAAATTAATATATTTTTTTTGTTTTTAGATCAAGCTCCAATCAACATCTTCGACACTTAATGATTAAATCATTACTTAATGATGATTTGTGAGCCATAAAAATTAATCAATGCGTTATCTACAAATTGATTTCTACATATAATACTACATTTAACACTCACCAGTCATAAGTTCGTGATTGGAAACATCAGCATGAATGAAGTGCACTTTTTTTTCTCCGCAGGATTTCTCTACACTCAGTTCTATTCGCTTACCGATTTCCTTGTCAATATCTAATATAGTTATTTTCTAAAAATTTATTCAAATTAAATGATAAGTTGAAATTTTAGCATATTTTTGGAATTAATTTAAAAAAACACTTACATTCGCACCGTGTTTCAAAAAATGATTCATAAATGCATTTCCTAAGCCCGTAGATCCACCAGTTATGAGCACGTTCTTACCAGAAACGAGACCGTATATTGCCTCTATTTCCTTCGCTTTCTCGGATGCGGAAGATTGTCTTCTTTTATTATTCTCGTTCTCTGCAAAATTTACATTCAATATATCATCTTATCATGGTAAAGTTGCATAAAAATTCTTAATATAAATTAGAAAATATTTAAATCAATTATATCGCTTCAATACTATAACATTTTACTATGTGTTATAATTAATTTCTTTCTCCACTTAATAAAATTGTTTATTAAAATCATTTGTTTTTGTTACAGATATATATTCTATATTTATGAAAATAATTAATTAATTTAATTATTTGAACAAGTTGAAAAATTCTATCTAAAACATTATTTTTATTGATCAATTAAACTGAAATCATTCGACTGAACGGTGTTCTGAAAATATTGTTTATTTCATTGATTCTAGGAGTACGCAGAGAAACGTACCCATTTTTATTCGAAGGAAATCACAACTGAATCGAATATACGAGATAGTGTTAAGTAACCAGAATTGAAGAGCACAAGATAGTTCAACGTGTCTCGTTCTACTGAAGTTTGATCGGTTTTCGTTGATCGTATTTATACTCACAACGAGCTGTCATAATGATTTCTACAAACGCCACAGTACGTATATATAAATGAAACATACAATTTTTATCATTAAGAGTGTTTCGTGGATAGATGGTGAGAGGGGATCAATCATTTTTCTCCTTACTTTATTTATTTATTTTTTTTATGATGGATAATGAATCTCGAACAGTCGATAGTATATAATATATAATAGAATCTCTAATTAACCCTTGACATAGAAAGTAATTAATTCAGATGCGGACTCGTATCGCGCGCTCGTTCGAAAAAAGTTTCTACGTTAAAGCGGCGTCTGCCCTCGCGATAAACGCAATTACATCGTACTTGAATAATGGCAGTCCGTCGATAAACTTCTAATTTATTCCTGGTTGTATGCAATTAAAAAATATATACAGGTAAGAAATATCATTAAGATATATCAATGGGGATTTTTGATTTAAATTTCATGATAAAATTTAATTTGAACTTGAATTTCTTTTTTCTTTCTTATATATCATCGTTCAATTTTTTGCGCAGATAAAATGATCAAGTTTTTAAATAAAACTTGACATTTATAGCATTATTGAAAATAATATTAATTTTTAATTTTTTATTGAAAAACAAGGTTATTATTAAATTCAATATTTTCCTATTACATCATATTTTCTAATAAATTTTGCAGAATTAAAAATAAATTCTTTGGCAAGATTATTTTAATATCGTAGGCATCACGTAATATTGATCTTTGATTACTCAACGATATTACGTGATTTTAATTCTAAGAATACAAATATAGTGCAACGACCTCACGAAAAAAATTCTATATTCAATAGAATTTTATATTTTATGGGCTTTTTCATAAACGAGAATTAAGATCGATCTAAATATTTTTCTTGACTTATCTTTTTTTATCTTTGAGAAAGATGATTAAAAAAATCTTAATATGTTAGTTAATTCATTTTTTTATTAGATAGAAATAATGATTATCTTATCAATGATTTTTATATGAGAAAATATATAATACTTATCAAAATCAGCATATTTTCTTCATTTTTTATGTATTTTCGTTTCTTGTTTTTTATTTTTACTTTTTTATCTTTTCTTCTTTATCATCATTCTTTTTTTTTATTTTATCTCTTCTCATTTTCTCTTCTTCTTTTTCCCTAATTTTCTCTTTTTTCTTATTCTCTTTTCTTCCTTTTCCTTACTTTCTTTGGTTCTTTTCTTCTAATCTATTCTTTTTTTCTTCTCTCATTTTCTTTTTCTTTTATCTTCTCTTTTCTCATTTTCTCTCTTTCTTTTCTCTGTTTTTCTTTCTTTTTTATGAATTTTTTTTTCTTTTCTACTTTTTTTTTTTAGTTGCTCCTTTCTTCTTCTTTCTTCTTCTTTTTCTATCATCTCTCTCATTATTTTCCCTTTTTCTTCTTCATCTCTCCTTCTATCTTGCTTTCTTTTTCTTCTGTCAACATTTTCTCTCTTGATCTAATTTTTCACGATCCCCTTTTTATTTTTTCTTTGTGTGTTTTTTTTTTCTTTTGTAATAAACTATATTCACTATATACATCACAAATCGTATTGGAAAGCGTAGTTTCCGCGCGTGTCGTGTGGCGTGCAATTGCGATAAACCGACGACGTATGCGCAGCTCGTGCTTTCCGACCTGTTATCGAAAAAAAAAGCATTTAATCTATCATAAATTCACGATAAATTGAGGCGAATCCACGCGTTCCAGGCACACCCTGAATCCAGTAAGAATCGGTTTTTGCACTGAACTTCACTCCGTTTGATAAACTGGAAACAATGCGAATTCGATTCGTTTTCTTCTCCTCTTTTTATATTATTTTCTTTTTATCGTTTCAGTTTATCGTTTCATTTTCGTTCATTTATCTTTTCTTTTTCTCTTTTTTTGTCTCTCTCTGTTTTTTAATTTTTTCTTTTGTTTATCTTTCTTTTCAATTTATTTTTTTTTCATTTCATTTTTTTTTCCCTTTTTTCGTTTTTTTCCTTTTGTTAAATAATTAGAAATATAGCATCTTACATCATAATATTGTGCTTTTAATTTTATATCACGATAGAAAAATTAAAAAAAAGGAATAACTTTATAAATATTTGAAAATAATTTTCTTAAAGTATGGACATGTTTAATAAATTTTGCAATTGTTGTAAAAAGATGAAAAAGAAAGATAATTATAATGATCGTTCGAAGTACTGTTATTTCTTATCAATTTTGTTCCATACTATATGCTTGTTCTGATATAATGACGCGCTATATATGTATATTGTTGATAATTATGGCACCAATTATTTAGTGCAATTTATATTTAAAATAATAATAACGTTCAATAACGTTCGATAAAGATTTATATATTCAAAGAATAGAGATAATAAATCACGACACAACAAACAATCAAAATTAACATTCACTTTCATTCATTTCGTTCGAAAGTACTTCGGAAAATATTTATAAATAGATAAATATTTATAAATTGTTTATTCGTATTTTTCATAAGTTTATTATTATAAAATAGTGAAAAAAAATGTTTTACGTCACTTTTAGATTTAAAAATAGATTTTACAATCAAAATTCCTTTTAAAAATAATTTTCGTTTTAAATTATTCACTGCATTTTTTTGTTTTTTTCATATAATTTTATCATTATTCTGCAATTTTATTTTTTTTCATTTTTATTTTTAATCATCTATATTTAAAAAAATAGGGAAATATAAATTATAAATTATAAAAGAAATCTATTAAATCTAGTCTCTTAAAAAAATTTCTATTATTTAAATTTCATATCGATGATAAATTCAATTAATATCAAACTTTCATTAGTATTTTATACCAAAAAATGGTATTTTTCAAAATTATTTTTTAATTTGTATTTATTATTCTGTAACGATAAATGCTCATTCTTTCGAGATAAGTATTATTGACTAGTGTTATACTTATTTCTTGATATCTTTGTAGATTTTAAATGGTAAAAAACTGGTATTGGGTTATCGTTCACTCGACCTGACTTTTTTTTTTTTTTTCCTCTTTTATAACCAATCGTATAACAATTTTGTTTCGTATCAAACGGTGTAACTACGTATATATTAAATACACAAAATAATCACTTTTTCAAATGAGGCTACGTCAAATCTTTTATAAATATTTTATTGTTGATTCGAACTTAATATCATAAATATAAATATAATTTTATTGATAATTTTATTTGCTTCGATAGATTTACGTAAAATTTTTTTAATTAAAATTATAATTTTTGTGAAATACTTAGATTTTCTTAGAAGACATTAGTAAGATTTTTAATCTACGAAAATATTTTTTAGAGAGTTGCTGCTAATAAGTTATTATTTTTAATTGATAATTATTTATTTTAATATGAATACATCATATTTTACAGGCATATTAGATTATTTCTTATTCCGTGTGGAGAATATTACAAAAGAGAAATAAAATAATTGAAATAAAAATTGGAAAACACTGTTGTAACTTCAAATTTTTAGTGAATTTATAGTTAAGTAACTTCACAATTGATAGATGTCGCCAGAAGTATCAGAAGAAACGAATTTAATTATTTCTTAGTTCAAATGTTTGTTCTTTTTTTTTTTTCATATATATCATAAAAGATTCGAATTAAAGTTCAAGCGAATCAAAATGATATTTCGGTAATCAAATCTAGAATGGTCTTTGGTAAACTAATATTGTGGCGTTGGTAAAATATTTTTTTGCACCACAAAGAATATACCCCAAACAGTTTAATGTTTAATAACAATTAAATGTTTAATAATCTTTTCTCGATTAAATTTTTTTATGTATGTATACATAGTAATTTCTTTGAAAAAATATAGAGAAATGTCTATAATTATTTAAAGATTATTCGATATTCGTGGTAGGTCTTTGAATTAATCTTTAATAAAATTATAAAATTAAAATCTGTTGAATTTATAGGAACAATTTGATATAAATCTTTTTTTTATTTTTTAATTTGATAAACAAGAAATTTTATAAAATAAATCTAACAGCATATCATATATTTTTATTAATCTACACATTTTTATTTTAAATTTTTATATATCACTTACATATTTTATTTTTTCATAAAAAATTTGTGCAATCATCTCAAGTTTTGAACAAGTAGTTGATTAAACATTATTATATTGCAATATATATATTATTATATTTTTTATTATATATATATTAAAAAATTACTATATATATATATAGAATTTTTTTTTTAAAATATTTATTTATTTCGAATATATTGACGATCATGAGAGAGAGAAGAGAAAATTCGATAATTGTATTCAACATAATCATTTTGATAGATGTTTTCTTATCTATATTTACCGGATGCATTCTTAACTCATTAAAGATAATAGAAGAATCAAATAATTTATGAGAAATTTCAATCTCAATTATTATTAGGATATAAGTAAGACAAATCTTTTTTATTTGAATAGATAAATAAATGTATACACAAATATATATATTTATTTATTTATTTATTTCTATATTCTATGGATATCCAAAAATTAAAAAATAATTTTTCAAATCAAAATAAAAATTAAGAATAAAAAATTTTGCTTTCAACTTTATTTTTTAATTATTGTCAATTCAAAATATTCTTAGACATAATCAAATTTTCTTATACAAACGAATTAAGTAGAGTAGCTCAAGCAATGAGACGTACAATGATTCTCAAATCCAATAACAATTACTATTCCATATTATTCCATATTATTCCATATTATAGAAAAGAAGATTACAATATGTGATTTGAGAATCATTATATTTCTCGTATATTTGAAGTATTTTCATTCATATATGAAAGTATATGAATTTTTGATAATTATCAATAAATAAAAAAACAACATCGAAAACAATATACATTGTGTACAAAACACTTATCTTTATTTACAAATATCGACAGTTTAATTTATCTGCAATTCAGATTCATTTTCATCCAATATGGAATCATCATTCTTTTGTGGTAAACTATCGAATAGTTGTATTTCGTACACAGGTTTCCCATCTTCACTGATCCAAATACTTCCATTCTGGGCGCACCTCAACACGTAAACTAATCCGTGCGCGACACTGAGCATTCTGATATAAAGAAATACTTTAATAGATTGTGTATTATAATATTTTAATAGTAATAATAACAATAATAAAAAAATAGAAAAGCTGCTAAGTTTCTCCATTTTTTGAAACATTTTTAGAGGATTTTTAAATGCAAAAATGAAATTATATTTTTGCATTTAGAACATCAATAAATGGAGATCTACTCTGTCTGAAATATGTGCCAAATATTTTTCTATATTAAAATACCTTCTAAAATACTTCTGTATTACATCATCATGTGGAATGTTGTTCTCTAAATTTTTCACATCGATAATTTGAGGAAGTTCAGGGCACATGACTAGTATTTTTACTCCAGTTCTTTTATAATGATATGGTTGCTGCAAAATCAAACTTATATTAAAATTATTAACATTAATATCAGAATGTTCATAGGATTTCATTGCATCAAATCTTTATAACGAATAAATAAAAGAACTATTAAATTACTGAATTAATAAAGTATTGATATAGACTTAGAATTGAATCAGAAATAATTTAGCAGGCATTAAGAGAAAATACTTAATCATGCTTGTAAAATATTACTCAAAGTCTTGGAAAATTGAGAATAAAATTTTAGAAACTTGAGAATGATGTTTCTCTGTGAAAAACTTACCGCAAAAGAACGACTGAAGCTAACCACAGCATGTTTCGTGGCTGAGTATACTGGTAGTTGAGGTGCAGCATAGAGACCAGCCAAAGATGATATGTTTACTATAGCGCCTCCTTTGCCTCCGAGGTCCTTTTGCATTTGTTGGATTCCTAGAAGCGTTGCACGAATCACTGAAGTCTAAGCAAAATGTTCTCAATTAATGAATTGCAATCATAAAGATATTTTTACATGTTCTATATCATATCCTAAAAAAGAATAAACAAGTGCTTTATTTAATCTTTTTGTTATATCTTGGATTGCATTACAAAAAATAACATTTTTGCTTACCACATTTATGTCAATAGATTTCATGAAATCAGTTTCGTTCATTATATCAGCATTATTTACTAAAATTTCTAATCCACCAAGTGTCTTCACAGCTTTTTTAAACGTATCTATTAATAAAAAATTAAAAAGAATTAGAATTTTTTTCAAATGTTTACACATGTAATATTAATTGTACAGTTCAGTATCTCTATTATGTACAGAGACATTTTATATTATCAACATCAATTATGTTTTATCTATTATCCATAAAAATTTTTGTACATTTTATAAAGAAATCATTATATTGTCAACATCAATCATGTTTTATCTATTATCCATTATCCATCTATTATAAAATGTACAAAAGTTTTTGTACATTTTATAAAAAGATTATTTTTACTAAAATAAATGTACTATTGTACAATAAACATATTTATTCTTATAAAATATAAAATATTAACTTTGCAATTAAATTTTGTAGTATTTTATTTTAATAAAAGTAATCTTTAAATATATGGCCTATACAAAATTTTTTGTGGATTATTGATAATTTATAAATGGTGTACTTTGATTAAGATATTAATCTTAAAAATAAGTGACACTAATATTAAATTTTGACATGGAAATTTTTTATTAATATTATTAATATTATAAATCTATAAATTTTATTGTTTCTATAATTCTTATTTTTATTCTTCTTTGAATAGATATTTATCTATTAATTTTTATTTCTTATCGAATTTCTTTTAATTTATCTAATTTTAGATTAAATAAAATTTATAAAAGATACCATCGAATTCAGAATTGTTTGCAATGTTACAATGATAGAATATAGTACGGTTGCGTCCGAATTCCTTATTTAATATATCCACTGTTTCCTTCCCTGATTCTTCGGTATCTATCATCGCTATTATCTAAAATCATTTTTCTAAAAATTAGCATATTCGTGTATTAAATTATTTAAATGTTTCATAAACATTTTTATTTATATGTTTTAGATTCTCATATGAAACATTTTATTCTAAAAATCTAGATGTATTATTTCATGCAAATTGATCTATGAAATATTTTAAAAATATATTTTTTCATTTATTTTATTAATTACTTACAGATGCACCATTTCTCAGCAATTCTCTGCTAATAGTCAAACCTAACCCACTTGCCACTCCTGTCATGATAACTCTTTTATCTTTGATCTGCATATTTTTTCTTTATATTAACTCTTTCTTCTTTAAAAAAAAGCAGAAATCTTAATAATAAATAACCATAACAAATCTTTCGATACAAATTTTTTGTATACACTTCTTCTATTTATTGTATACTTCGATGACACTTTCCCTTTTTTTTCAAAAGATACAATCTTCCACTTTATTAATCGTACACTTCAAATAATATAAATAACTTTTTTATAACCTAAGAATATCTTTTATCTTTCCAATAGAATTGATCGATTTAATATTCGATATGTTAAATTTGAAACTTTCATGGAACAATTTCGTACAATTTTTACTATTTCGATTCATTTACAAAGATAGAAATTAGAAGCGTGAAAGGATAAAATTGTTATTTTCAGAGAGAAACGAGAGCGAAACTGTCAGAATTTTAGTAGTCGTTGGTCGCGATACATTGGAAGGTTTCTATCAAAGATGATAAGAAAAAAACTTGCTGCTTTCATGTCATGATCTTCGACCTATTTTACACGTCATGATGATTGGCGAGTGTTTTACATTATTTGCGCAAATTATTCATTGCAATACATGTTTTGATTTGTTATTGTCTAAAAAATTGTTGAATCGATGTTGTTTTAACTAACTTCTCTCTTCCTTTTCGTTTTAGATAAATTATAATATAATTTGATAGTAGATTCTCTCATTTTCGCTTCATATTAGTTTAATATTTAATATTAAGTCTTTTTTGTTATTCTTATTTTAGCAATTTTCTTATAATTTTATACAAGTTAAAATTTAATATTCATTTTAAATTATTCTTGTTTTGTATTTTCGAGCTTGATTATAGATAAATTATAATTGAATGATTAAAAATTATGGAGCAATTTTGTTTGTCAAGAGTTTTGTAGAAATAAAAGATTTAAGATGAGATATATAGTAGGATTTGATATCTTACAACAAAATTTTTGGATCTACATTAAATGAGCTTTTTTATTTTTTCGATATTAAATTAGATTGCTATATGCTAATGTCGAAAAGAATTTTTTATTATTTCTTTATTACATCAAATTCATTATGAATGTTAATAGTCGTTTGATCGAAATTTTTTGAATATAATAATCAATCTCGAGATACGTATTTTAATATCTTGATACGATATATTATAGTTTTAAAATATAAAAATAAAATATAAATAAATTATAATGGTTTAATAATTCTTAGGTGAAAAATTTTTAGATAAAATATAATTTGACAATAAATTCATTATAATTTTATTTCTATGATTTAAAGAAAAAAAATATATATATATATATTCTATCTTCATTTTCTTTAGTTGAGACAGTTGATAACAAAATTTATTTTAATAAAAAACAATAATACAAAGTGATTAACAATTAATAATTATATCTATAACATTTTTTATTCTACGTAAAATAATTTTCTTTTTACTATAACCATGCTTTTAAGGAGACCTTTTATAATTGAAGTTCTATTTTCTTCAATGGAGAGAATTCAACAGCATAGGGTTGTTTACCATCTTTACAAACCCATACAGCTTCATTTTTGCCTTTTTCGATAAGCTTTACCATGGCATCTCCAACATGTTCTGGCCTAAAAAATAATATATAATGAATATAAAAAATATTAATAACATCATTCATATATGTATTCATATATTCATATATGTTTGTTTTAAAGTATTCATATTGTATTATATTTGTTTTTATCAATCAATATTTATTTTCGTTTTTATCATATCTTTATTATTCTATCACGTTTTATCTTATCATTTTATCTTTTTTTTCTTTTATCATTTTTTTCTATTAAATTTTTTAGATTATTTTAGAAAATTTTAAATTATAAATTGAATGTCTTTTAAAGCTTTCTCCATCCTCCCAATATAAATTATTTAAAAAAATTCGTTCTCGGGAAAAAATATAACAAGTAATAAGTATATTGAATAAGTATTGTTAGAAGAAGCATGTTATTATAAGTAAAATATCAATTCCATATAAATTATCTTTTTTTTTTGCACAAAAACTTTATTTATGTAATATTTAAAATTTCACTTACGTTTGCGGGATCTCTTTTCCCAAGCAGTCATAAACATCATTTTGCGCGACAAAATTTAAGGATTTAGAAACAGGATCGTCAAGTAAAGTCGTAGTTGTGACACCAGGGCACATTATGAGAATGCGAATTCCAGTAGTATTGTAGTATCTCTAAAATGATTGGAATAAATGTGTGAGTTAATAAGAGAACGTTAAATTAAAATAAATATTCTTTGATTTCTTATATTTTCGAGAGAAATCTTATTATATAATTAACTTTTGAAATATTTGAAGTCGATTATCAATATAATTCAATAGCCTAATAATTATATTTATTATTTTTAACTTTGCATCGTTACAGAATACAAAAATATTGGATTAATTCTTTTCTTTTCTTATTATAATCTCAACATTTACAAGACAAGAATATAAAGTATAGTAAAAATAGACGATTAATCTAATATTTCTCTTCAAAAAAAATCCTTGAAAAATTGAAGTAAATCGAAATTTTCGAAAATATTTCTAAAATATTATATATTATAACATCTAATTAATAAAATTTAGATCATGGAATATTAATCAATTAAAATTTCAAGTTAGTTGGTTAGGCAATTAGTTAGATAAATATTAGAAATATGAATCTTTTCATAAGCAGATATTATTTTATTTCATTTAATCTAAATCTAAATGGACAAATTGTAATCAGTCCATTAATTAAAAATTTTCGATTTTATCTTTCGATTAACGCTTTTAAAGTAATTAAGATTATTTAAATATACTTACCGCCAAGCAACGACTCAATGCCAATACATAATGTTTGCTAGCACAATAAATAGGATTGCTGTAAAAGATATCTAGAGCCACGATCGACGCAATATTTACTAGGGTGCCACCTTTGCCACCCTTGAGCTTGCTCATATGATCAAAAGCGAGCAATGATCCTTGGATTACACCACCCTAAAATTAAAAAAAAAAAATTGATAATGAAATAATTTCATTAGTAGACTATATTCATATTCGTCAACATTATAGAAATATCAAATCTATAAAAATGATAGGTCAATTAGATTCATTTCTTTTAAAAAGCAAATATGTATATTTAAATCAAACTTCTGTATTATGTGAAAATTTATAAAGCAAATTAAAATAATCTTTCTTTCTGTAAAGTATATTTTACTTACGACATTTATAAGCATAGTTTGCTCCCATTTTTTGTCATAGTATATACCAGCATTGTTAATGACAATATCTAAGCCATTCAAATCGCTCGCAGCTTTTTTAAACACCGCTACAAAAATATAATTTTTAATGAATCAGTAAATAAAATATAAGTAAAATGTAAAATTTTTTTCATCATTTCTAATCTATTCTATAATTTCTAATTTTATATTACTTTCATTTGTATTAAGAACTCTTGAGAATGTGAAACACAGATTGAATATATTAATACTTTAGAATCGTTTAGAATATTAATGTATTATGTTCTGCGTAATACTATATTAATATTCCAGTTAGTTAGTCCTATTCTATTAAAGATGAATCTTACTGCTGTTTCACTTTATCTTCATTACAAAATTAAATCGTTTATAATTAGGTAATAAAATAAATTTCAATGGATATTTTCACGTATCGATTTTTTTATTATTTCAAAAATGAAAAATTTTCGTAAATATATAGTATAATTTTTTATTAAAAAAAAAGAAAAATTTGAAAGAATGAAAATTAAAACAAGAGAATTAATTAAAACAAAATTAAAATTAATTAAAATACCTTCGAATTCGTTAATCTTGGTGACGTCGCAAACATAGAATACCGCCTTGCCCTTTCCAAATTCTTTTTCCAAATTATTTACTGATTGTTGACCAGGAGAAGAGCTCAAATCGAGAAGAGCAACGCACTAAAAATTACACCAATGGTTTTAACAATTAATGAAACACAATTTATTTGCGAAAAAAATATATTTTCTGATTTTTTTGAAAATAATTAACCTTTGCTCCATTTTCTAACAATCTTTTAGCATAGATTAAACCAAGTCCAAGAGTTCCACCGGTGATCAAAGCTGTTTTATTCTTGATATTGTCTGTCATGATCTATAAAAAAAAATTTTTTTTCGTACAGTAAAATTTTATACATGAATAAATTTTAATTTTTATAATATTTTGTTAATCAAATCGAATTTTCTTTTATTAAAATTGTTATTATTATTGCATGTTATCAAACGTGTATAAAACCGAATCAAAATCTTTAGAAATTGATTAATGATTTAACCTTTGAATTAGAAAAAAAAATGACTCAAAATTCCAAAAAAAAAAAATAACAGTTATTTCATCCACTCACCAAGTTTGAATTTATAACTTGAAGTTTAGTATAAATTTATTTCAAATAATTGGTAAATGTGAACAGTATCGTTCCTGACAAGAAAATGAATCGTCTATATACGTACGTTAAATTAAATATATAGCAGATATTTATCTCTACATATACATGAATACGTATCATTGTCACGTGATACAAAACAAGATTTCTTTTCAAATAGTTTTAACGAAATGGAAACAATTAATACATATTTATAGATGGATACAATTTGTTAAAAATATATATCAAATAATTGATAAATGAATAAGCGGTAAAATAAATGATTAAAAATATAACTTATTATTTTAAGAAATGAATTGTCACTATATATATACATTAAATTAAATATATGTTTATAGCAGATAATTTATCTATATATGTACTTAAGTACATATCATGTGATATAAAACAAGATTTCTTTTTAAACAATTTTAGCGATGGAAAAAATTAATACATATCTATAAATGTATACAATTTGTTAAAAATGTATATCGAATAATTGATAAATGAATAAGCGATAAAATAAATTATTAAAAATATAGCTTATTATTTTATAAATTTTTTTCTTCTTCATCTTTTTAATCTTATATTCCATTTTACATTTAATACATTGCATATATTTCATTTATCAATATTTTTGTAATTATTTTTTTTTTTTGCAATCATTAGATACAAAAAAAAATTATCAAATATTACCAAATATGAATTAAATATAGACAAATTATATATTAAATATAAATTATATTTTGCTTATTTTGTTTAAATAGGTTATATATGATTATAAACACATTTTATAATATTTTGATGATTTAGCTTAAGGTTTAATAATATATTAGATCGATTATCATCAATATTTTTTCAATATTTTTAAAAATATTAAATTAATAAAGGATTAAAGGATTGGAGGAAAGATTAACATTTCAATCCTTTTGAGACTAATAGAATAATACATTTTCAAAGATTCTATATTATTATATATAATAATAATAATATAATAATAATATATAATAATATATAATAATAATAATTATGATTATTATGAATCTTTGTAAAATTATAATATATAACTATAATATTATTATATTATAATATTATATTATAATTACATATAATTATATCATACGTAATTATTATTCATCATACTTATAATTTTCGTTATATAATGAATGCCATTATCTTTAAAATGGATAAATTGTTTATGCAAAGAAAATTTTTTCTTTAAAATTATATTTATCTTTATTTATGTAAAAAAAAATTTACATATGTATGTATTCCAATAGAATTATCGATAAATGTATATATTAAATATATATTAATAATAATATTAATGTTAAATATAAATCACATTATATATTATTATTTATTGTAAATTATTATAATACAATACACTACATATTAGTAGTGGTTGTTATTTAATATTTTGATATTTAATATATTATATTTAATATTTAATATGACATATAATTAGTATTTGTTATTTTTAATAATTTTTATTGTATTGTATTATATATTAATATATTTATATATTTAATTTTATATATTAGAAAAACATAATTATATATATTTTATATATTTGTATATTTTTCACTTATATCATGTGATTTTTTTCATATATATTTGCAATATCAGCAATATAATTATCTTATCATAAATTAAAAATTCGATTGAAATTTCTAATCGAAAACAATTTATTTTGGAGTATTCGATTGACCTTCTGAATATATTTTTTGAATTCGATAAAATAAAGCAATTCGATCGATTTATTTTATTTTATTATGATACAATAAATTTTCAGTTATTGAATATAATTAATATTGAATTATAATATAAGTCATATTGAATATAAAATATTTTCAATCGCAAAAAATCTAATACTCCTTTGAGAGGATTGATTAATTATGAATTATCAATTTAGTTATAATTTTCAATTAAAAATGAATAGTTTTTTATGAATTTTTAATAAATATTAAATAATCATTTAATATTGATTCGAATCTTTCACAAATAATAAATTAATATGTGTATAATATGTAAGTTATAAATTATCAATTAATAATTAATATAAATTGATAATAAATTGATAATTGTTTAGACCAGATCATTCATCTCTGGTTTCATTTATATAGAGACTTTTAAAGCGGTATAACTAGGGAATTCGACCGCATAGGGAGGTTGATTATTTTCGATAACGAATATTGCGCCATTTGCCCCCTGTTCGATTAACTGGATAATAGCACTTGCCACATGTTCCGGCCTGTTAACAAATATTATATTTTTAAATTATATTTAAATAAAATTGATAATATTTAAACTAACACTTATGAATCAAGATTTTATGAATGAATATTAACTGTTATATATTATCACGAACTTATTAGGAACATTAATTTAATATGCGATTTTTAATATCAATATCTTTGAATATTTCCTTTTTTTTTTTTTTTACATTTCAATTATTTTAAAAATAGTACGATATTAATTATCATATTTTAAATGAAAATATTAATTAACAATTAACATAAATACATTTTTAATATTATTTTTTAAGAAAAATTTCTTCTTTTAATTCTAATGGAAAAAATTATTTACGGTTGTTTTTGCATAGTGACCATCGCCATAGCCGCTGTTTCTTCGTCGAGAAGATCCATAGCATGTTCTTTGGTGGACATGAATCTGGCAGCCATAGCTGTGGTTGTCAATCCAGGACATATCGTCAACATGCGGATGCCAGTTTTTTCGTAATAATGCTTTGGTTATTTTTAAAAAGAACTATTTTAATATTTCAAGATAAAATTTTTAAATTTATATAAAGTATTTTAAAAATAGATAACTAAATTTCGATGACATACTGTTTTTCTTGAAAAGTGTTTATATCTTGAAAAGAAAAAAAAATATTTATTTTTTTTTTTATTTTTAAGATTAAATTTTAACTATTCAATTCTGAAATACTGTTTACTTTATAGTAAATAGAAAATATTTTTTCATTCTATTAAGACAATATCTAAAATTGTGTAGTGTCCATCATACAATTTTTTAAAATTTTTCCTTAATTTTTATATAATTTAAATATTTCTAAGATAAATTGCATATATTAAATTCTTATCGTCTTAATATAAAATTCAAAATTCCAATTTTTCCCAAGAATTGTTTTCAAAAATTCATTTTCATACGAATAGATAGAATTTTCATTTCATTTCTTTACCTTCAACGATTGAGTGAATCCAACAATGGCGTACTGTGTTCCCCCATAAATAGGCGCTATAGGGATACCTTCGAGACCAGCTACAGAGGACATGTTCACGATAATACCACCGTTGCCACCCTTATACTTTCCCATTGTGTGCAAGCCTAAGATAGTCCCATAAACGATACCTTTCTACCAATAGAAAACAATTGGTAAATTTTTCACATTTTTGAATAAATAATTTTGAATAATGTAAAGTACAATAACGATAGGTTCACTATTCTAAAATATTAACATTGAACCATATTGTTATTAAATTCATAAATTGACAGTTCTTTGATTTTTCTCGGAAAAAGTAAAGAATTATTTTTAAGATTTACAATAATTTTCGATTGATACATAAAAATTTCACACGCAATTCTTATATTTCTATATTCATATTTTAATATTAGAGAAATATCGGATTACTTACGTAGTTAACATCGACCATAATTTCCCAATCTGCATCGTCCATAATACCCGCGATGTTTACGAGAATGTTTAAAGTTTCATACGTATCAATAACTTTCTTGAACGATTCTGTATATAATGTTTTTATTATATCATTATAGTTGATATTTAATTAAATAATATTAAATTATTTGAAATAATAAAATAAAGACATTTCAGCGTTTAAATAGATAAATACAAATTAAATATTTGATTAGCAGAATTTTCAAATATTAGATATAGTATTTAAAAAAATATTAATTATGCAATGTTATTATCATGCTTTGAGAAAACATGCAAAAAAATTTTTAAATATTTGTTGATATGTTATCAATGTTTCATATATAATTGGATCGCAATATAGAATATGCAATAAAATATAATAATTACTTATTAAATATTTTGGATTTTCTAGAAATTCTAGAAATTCATATTTCATTATATATATGTATATATATGTAAATTATATATATATATGTAAATTAGAATTTTTATCATTTTATTTGACTCTCTTTATCAAATATTTTTTATTTTTCTTTAATAAATATATTATATATTCTTATTATGGCAATACTTTAATACTATTGTAAACATGATATATAAAAAAGATAAGAAAATTTGTTGATCAATATATACAAAAATATATATAAAAATAATATATATAAAATATATAAAATAAAAATTAAACAACAATGATAATTATGAAATATGAATATCATGATGAATGAGAATAATAAAATAGTATCATTTGATCAAGATAAAAAAGAAAAGAAAATTAGAAAGATGTTAATTTATACATAATTTATCTAATCAAACTAAATAAATTATCTTATGTTATAAAAACAAATAGGTCGTTGTGTAAGTAGAAAATAATACTAAAAGAAAAGAAAGGAATAAAAATGAAGAAAAAATGAAAAAGAAATAAATTGGTCTAAAATAGAAATGAAACAGAGTATTATTAAATTAGCAAATAATTTTTAATGGCTTAAACTGTTTAAACCTGTTATTTCATAAATCTAAGAAGAAATCAAAACTTAATTTTTAAAAAATTGCTATTTTAATTATAGTTTAATTATTTTAGTGTTTAGTTTACATTAGTAGAAATTAAAATATTTGTCAAAAAATCTAATATTATTCAGAAATGTATTAACGCAAAAATACAAAGATAAAAAAGATTTATTAGAATAATCTAAGTCAAAAGTTTTTTGACAGCAATTTATTTATATCTATCTTGAATAAATAAATCTTCTTTTCTTCTGATCTTTTTTTCAACTGATACAAAAAGATCAACAGATCAAGGAAACATCATACGTAACACGATCTTTCCATATTTTTATATATCTATTTTATAATCTTTAATTACCTTGAAATTCCTCGTTCTTTGACACATCACAGGCAATAAAAATAGCTCTCTCTTTTCCAAACTCATTGTTCAAATCTGCGGCTGCGCTCTCGCCACCAGAATCGCTTAAATCCAACAGAGCCACCGCCTGAAACACATAAACGAAACTGAACATATACAAATAATAATTAAATCGCAAATTGATTACGAGAAAAAGATCAATTCAACAGTAATTTTCTATCGCAACAAATAATAACAAACAATACTTATATATATATACTTCATCCAACTTTGAAAATATAAAATATTTTCTTTCTTTTCTTTTTTTTATTACAATAACCATCGCAAGATCATCAAATTTAAGCAAATTAATATTCCAAATTTCCAAACCTTCGCCCCATTTCGAAGCAGCTTACGAGCTGTGCAGAAGCCAATCCCGTTCGCTCCACCGGTTACGATCGCGATTTTACCCTCGATGCTCATGATCGATCGCAGGAAAAGAAATGGGATGGCGGCCCTGTTTTTATTCTTCCAGCTGGATAAGAACGGTGGTTTTCGTGGCGTGCACGCGCGAAGCCTCGCCTCGCGAATATATCCCACGAGCGGGGGCCTCCACGGCGACACGGAGGCGAAGGTGAAACACGAGAAATCGGGAATCAATCGTACGAGATTGAATGTCTCCCGCGGATAATCCGATGGGATAACGTGACCGCCGTAAACAGGATCGAATTTACGCCGATCGATGGAAAGTTGGGCGCGAGGTGGCACGTTGGTATCGTTGGCATTGATGTTTATATGGATTTATTGAGTTACCGTGCCGCGTTTCAGATCTCTGCTGTCCACGTGGCGACAGACAGGTAATTTTGTCTGATTGGAAGAGGATGGAAGAACGGAGGAGGATGGAGGCGAGAGGGATAGAATTGCGAAGGAAACGGGTTGGCCCGTTGATTTAATTGGCGCGTTAGTTGCGTCCGGTAGAAATATTGTAGAAATGATAATTTTTCGTTCCTTTTTTTTTTTTCGTGACTCGTCAACATTATATTCGTCATCTTTTCGTCCTTTTTTTTTTACAATTCGGATGAACATTTTTGGAATAGGGGGGATTGACAAATTGAAAGAACTTTGAACAACAAGTTAAAATAGGTATAACATCATGGAAGAGATATTGAATAATATTCGAATATTCGAAATTAATTGGAAATATATTATTTCGAATGTTGTGGAAATTTATGGATTATTTATGGATTTAAAAGTTTTGTAAAAATTTCTCTATTTTGAAAATACAACGCATAATTAATGAATGATAAATATATAATAATCAAATTGATTGAAAATCACTATTTTTTTTTTTTTTTTTTGGTATTAATCTAAAATTATATATAAGAATATCTGCAAAAATTAAAAAAAGAAAATGTAAAGAAAATATTTTTTAAAATTTTTAGCTATGAAATGATTTTCGTTCACGAAATCTTTATAATTAATGTCGCTATTTATAGCATAAATATATCTGATAAACGTTATATACGCTTTATTATAATTACACTTAAGAATTTAATAGCTATGTTTACTATGTGTCTGTTAAAACGATTTTATCGACTATTATTTTGCCGTGATTTTTTTTACGATAATTGATATACGTAATATACGTATTATCTCAATTACTTGTTTTATTCATTTTATTTATTATTTTTATTTTTATTTATTATTTATTTATTTATTATTTATTCAAATATAAATTAAAATATAACTAAATGTAGATTACGAGAAATTAATATTTTATCTGGAAATAAATCTGAAATGGGACAGAAATAAAAAATAGATAGAATGTTTAGGGACGAAAAAAAGAATGTTACTTGAAATTATTTCATTGCATTGAAAACAGTCATCTTTATTATAATAAGAAATTTTATAAATTTTATGTAAAAGTTATGCTAAAATCAATATGAAATTTTAAAATCGGTATGATAATCAAATTCTAAAGTTCAAAAATTAATTAATCTTATACTTATATTTAATCTGTGATAAAAATTGAAAAAACAGCGTCATCTCTAAAATGCTTTAAATGAAACAAATAAATAGTAAATAATAGTAAATAAATAGTAATAAATGAAAAAAAAATAGTAAAAAAAGAATATGAACTGACTATTAGCGCCATCTTTTAAGTATTTTTAAAAATATATTTGGTATTAAAGATGATTATTTTTTTCTTTTATCTTTTTCTAATTATTTGCTTTCCTTATTTTTATTCTTTAGATATTCGAGAGATGGCGCTAGTTGTTCAATTTTTATTATTTTTCTTATATTTATTTCATTAGGTAATCCAGAGATGGCGCTAGTTGTTCAATTTTTACTTATTTTTCTTATATTTATTTCTTTAGGTATTCCAGAGATGGCGTTAGTTGTTCAATTTTTACTTATTTTTCTTATATTTATTTCTTTAGGTATTCAAGAGATGGCGTTAGTTGTTCAATTTTTACTTATTTTTCTTATATTTATTTCTGTAGGTATTCAAGAGATGGCGTTAGTTGTTCAATTTTTATTATTTTCCTTATATATTTTTATTCTTTAAATACTCCAGAGATGGCGATAGTTGTTCTGTTTTTAATTTCTAATTTCTATCCTTCACTCACTATTTGCTCTCCTTGTTACTATTTATTTTTAACGCGCGATCATAGACAAATATAGTATCAATTGAATAATATCATATTTAACATTTTAAACGCGTTGAAATAATATAATGTATCTGTTTTTACGTTAAAAAATTAATATTTCATTAAATTTCTAAATAATTGAAATATGTTAAACATTATTTATTCCTTTTTATTTCTGTTGAAGTATTTACAATTATAAACATATACACGTATGATTATAGAATATTGACAAAAAATATTTTTATACATTGTACTTAACAGGACATGTTTGATTTTTGCAATTGATTTGATAAATTAATAAATTATATAATTCTACGTTGTAGAAAGGGATCATTCATTTCTTTTCTTTCTTTTTCTTTTTTTTTTTATCTTTATCTTCTTTCTTTATACACATTTCTTCTTTCGTGGGTGTACATACTTTAGCTTTGGCACAGGGTGGGTCAATCTTCACAGTACAATACTAAAATTGCCATAAAATTTCTTTACATTATTTTCATAATTTTTCATATTTCGTTACATAAGAAGAATTTATTAATCAGTTCATCAGATCTAATTCATTGATTAAAATCATGATAATAATATTACATGTAATATAGAATAATAATATTAAAACAAATATTTTGGCAATATATATATATATACATATAATGTTTGATAAAATTATTTAAAAAAACTAAAATTTCTTATGGATCTAGATCTATTAATTTTCTAATCTATTAATTTTACTTGTGTTTCATAGACTTTGGGGTCAACTTGTTCGCCTTCCTTCTCCGGAAAATGAAGTAATTGAGGAATTTGATTGACGCTGATTGCAGGTTCGACCAACCACGCACTTCCGTTCTTTGCCCACGCTAATACATGACTTAAAGCTGTTCCTATGTGATACTTCCTGCACACATACGCAAGTTAAGTTAATTTAATTTTTCTTTCTATTCTAAAAATTAAGAATCATAGAATAAATTAATTTTTTTAAATTGGCAGAATTTTTTATTTGATGATTTAATGAATTTTTATTAATGAATTTGTCATATATAAAATTAGCTATTCTTTCACTTTTACTGTTTGAACAATCATCAATAACATATAAATTACTTTTACATTTTCATTACACTTTACAGTTTTCCTGACAACCATATTATTAATGCCATTTACGTTATCTTAAATTTATTACGTGTATAACTCATAAATTAAATTATAAGTTAATAAACAATGACTTACGAATGCGGAACACAAGTTGGCAATTCGTTAGTTTTGTTTGGAAGAGGGTCTGGAAAAATTGGCAATCCTATGTCGCGAAAGTATTTATTCGTTGGACAAAGTGCCACTAAACGAACTCCGGTTGTTTCTACGTTATACTTTTTCTTTATTAACGAAAAAATGTTTTTTATTTAATACTTAACGTTTAAATAATTTAATTTATTAGGATTAATTTGAACAATATACCGCGAAATGTCGGGTAACTTCTATAGCTGGTTCTTTGTTGCAATAAATTGGGAATGGATCTTGTGGCCATCCCAAGAAACCGAAAATACTCGCACAGTTTATTATTATTCCGCCAGAGCCGCCATTTTCCTTCCCTAAAAGTTCCAAGCCTATTCGAATCGTTTTGTGTATAGTGTTCTGTAAATTTTTACAATTAAATTATTTTTTATCTTTACGAAGATTGATTTACGAAGTAATTTCAGCAATTAATTATCCAGAAAAGATTATGTTAACATTAATTGATTTAATAATAATATATCATATAATTTTTTTTTATAAATAACGAATTATATTATATTATATGAAATTTAAATATATAATATATGATCTGTAATTAATTATCTCATTTATTACTTCTTCGATCTTCGGATTCGATGGCTTTTCTTTATCAATATTGTTAAAAATAATATGAATCACTTTGAGTTTGCAAAGAGCATCATGTAAACTACCTGAAAATTGAATACATCGAACAGAAGCAATTTTATTATATTTTAATTACATGAAATGAAAAACCAATAGATAGAAGAATTTTTTTTTTTATTAATAATACAAGTCTCTATTTATTCGAACATGTTAATGTTATAAGATAATTTTATTATAACATTTTCTCTAATTGATAATATCATTATGATGATAGTATATTTTTATTCTTCATTATCCTTTTTTTACATGCTTTTGAAAAAGAATCCACGATTTCAATAGATTTATTAAATTTAAATTTAATCTTTTTTTTTTTTTTCGAGATAACAAAATAATAAGATGTGTTCGAGTTTCGAAAATCAAATTTTATTATTCCTTTTTCTTTTAAAATTTAATAAACTTCATCTCGAAATTTGAATACGAGCATTAACTTGTTCGTATAAATTAAATTCTCTATTACACTATCGTTATTAACTCACTGTGACTATGACAATCACTCATTATATTATAATGAGCGTAGTATGAGCGATTTTTTCCATGAAAACTGCACAATCTTCTGGCTGCCATTTTCCCTTCTTCAGGATCATGGTCAGCTATTACGACAGTCTATATCGATCGAAAGATTATATCAATTTCTTGCTTTATATTATTAATAAGGTGTCAATATATTCGTGAGATATCTTTGCAGAATTCTATATGTCGAAATGAACACAAAAGTTGATATATAAAAATCTTATTTATTATTTATTATTGAATTATAAGCAATTGAAATTTGCATTGAATGAAAAGATGGATTGAAATTGTTCTGTTGATTTGCTCTATCTTCATTTTGTTTCATGTAACGCAAATTGCTTACAATTAATTAATAAACAAGCCAAAATTTTTATATATCAACTTTTATGTTTGTTTGTGTCATTCTAAAATTGATTTTCCAAAAGTGTGAATATATTAACACTTTGTACATGAAACTCACGATGTTTCTTCTTCATTTATTAAATTAATTCAACGTAATTTAAATTCATTCATAATTTTACCATATAATTTTTTCATATAAATAATTATAATCAAATCATTCTAAAATAAGATAATTTATATTAACAGATAACACCAACACGTGCTCCTTTGACCAAGAGATGATCAGCCGCTGCAAAACCAAAGCCGTTAGATCCTCCAAGTACTATAGCGTTTTTACACATAGGCTCGAGAATTGGTTTAGACAACTCGGCACTAAAATTGAAATTTAAAAAAAAAAAAATGATACGAAAGTAAGTGATAAAAGTTTCATTTATTATTTGATTATAATTTTAGACAAAAAATATTTTATTCTCAATAAATAATAGGTGATAAATTTCTGAAATTTCTTAAAAAATTTCTTAAAAAAATCAATATTATCTATTTAACATTAAACATTAATGATATTTTTTTACCAAAAAAAAAAATAATTTATCTTTTTATAGAAAATAGATAGATTCACCAGTTGCCAGGTATTATTATCTTCGGACCATCTTTGCTCTTTTTCTTTTTCTGACGCGCCACACTAACATGAAATTGACACCGTTTACATTTCCACAGGCTACTGAAATGACAGAACAGAACAAAACCTTTGTGATTAAATGGAAAACTAACGTAGAATTAAATACGTCTCTTCGGAAAATAAAAAAAGACGCAACGAAAGTATCATATTACCTTGGATTCTTATCGAGGAGTTTGAAGGAAAGTAAGGTTAAATACCGTGATAGCATGTTGCTTGAAAATATAATCTTTCCTTGTGATTAATATTATAAATTTTTGAATATAAAGTAATAAAGTATGTACACAAGAAAGAAAAAAAGTAATAATAAACGGAAATGAACGGCAAATGCAACATTAAATGAATAAACAGGGAATTTAGAAATAATTTTGACCGAAAGTTGGATAGTTACATTTTGCATTTGTCAACGTCACGTGTTGACATTCGTTTTTCTATCAATTCATAAAGAATATATTCGCTTGTTCATAATATCACATTGGTTGAATTACATTGCCATAACGATATGCTAATAATTAATAAAATATGTAAAATAATAATTAAAATCAATATTAATATAAAATCAATATAAAAAAAAAAAAAGAAATATTAGCATTGAAATTAAAAACCAGAGATCAAATTTATTTTAATTCCAAGACGATAATAAAATAAAAAAACATTAAATATTTAGCAATACATTTCAATAAATAATTCAATATCTTAATTAAAAAGATTCTCCACACAGAGTGGAGAATGAAATGTCAAAGAATAATGTTAAATTAAGGTAATACACTTTTCTTCATTTTTTTTTTTTCTCAATTTTTTGTAAAAAAAGCTATGCATTTTATTGGCTAGGCTTGCAACATACATTCCGAGCAAATCATAACAAAACCAACAATTTCCACTAGCTATCGACAGTGCTGTCGATTAAGATTACGCAATGTTATATTCGAATGTGCGATTGTTCTTCGATCCGGAAGTCCTTTAAATCCTCTCTGTTCAGATCGTAACATTGTTCGAGGAACGATTATAATCTTTCGAAAAATCTATTAACCATTACACTTAATTTACATTAAAACTAGAGACCTCTTATCTAAATATTTCATTTTGAAAAACATGGAAATTAATATAGCATGATGAAAATGAATAAATATACATGTGTAATTATATTTTTATTTATATTTAAATAAAGGCTAATAATATTCATTTAAAAATGCGAAATTCGCCATTTTGACTAGTATGTTAACTCTACGAGTCTAATTATAATTTTATTAAAAGTATACCAAGTATATTTTCATCATATTATTTTAATTGTAATAAATATTAATTTACATATAATATATCGATTCATAGTTCCTATAAATTAAAATTCTTAATTTCTGTTCCAAAAAAAGAAACGGATTCGAGAGATTAAAGAACGTTCGATCGAAGAATGGACGATTAAAATGTATAATAATTATAACTCGTGCATCGAAGAGTTTTAGGCCTCGATTTCGCATATCTAAATCTATGTTTTCTTCATTTTTCTCCCGTTGGTCGTTCTCAAGTTTAAAAGTTCGTATAAAAATTACGATTATAACTTGTGACCTTGAACAAATTGTTTCGATCTTTCAAACTTCGATAATTCTTTTGATTTCCTTTCTTCGATCATTTTTCCTCTCTTCGTTGTATATTCGATTTGAAAATGAAAGAATGTCCTTTTCTCAGTGTCTTTACGAACGATCACGAAACAATTTGTGCATTTATATTTTGATTCATGGATGTTTCATTTGCGTTCGTCGAACGATGAACGATGAAGTCATAATGAATTGGATAAATTCGTTCTCGAGTAAATATGTCCTCTTATGATTATCGATTTGTTTCTGTAAATATGTAGAAAACTTTTATCTTATGGATGGAATGCTATTTTTTTCCGGTTTTTTTTTTTTTTTGATATATTTTCGGAACAATTAAGATATTTATTTTATTAACGGACTGAATGTCGTTTCCAAAATATCTTACGCATCGATCGTGTTATAGTTAAAAAAGAGTGTAGAAAATTTACAAAAGTTGTTCAGAGATTTAATTTTGAAATTGATATCTAATCGATATTCGTTACTAATATATATGTGTATATATATATATATATATCCAAATGATTGCTTGCATCCATATTGCGAATTGGACAGTCTAAATCGAAGTAAATCTTTTTATAGATTTTAATAATCGTACAAAAAAAATCTTACGTTTCAAATCGCGTTACAAATTGTTGGATCGCTATAAAGGATTAATTATTTGCTTGGAATCTTATCGGTTTTTTTTTTTTTTTGCCTTATTACTTATCACTACAAGCCTAATTGAAGAATGCTCATACATTTTGAACAAACGGTTTCGTTAACCGAGAACTTTCTGAATTTTTCCAGAGATTAAAACCTTGTTCGATTTCTTTTTTCACTGAAATCCTTTCGTGGATTAAATTACATGTATTTTGTACACAATTTTAAACTTCATTATTTTCGATCAATGATCGTCAATACAATACTATTGATTGATCAATTTTACAAGTATCGAACAAAGTTCAATCCGAAACATTCGGTGAAATATTGAAAGTAAAATATCTAACATACTATAATTTTACAAATAAAAACAATCGTGTATTAGTAAAAAAAATTAAAAACAGGAGACCATTTTGTTTCGAAGATTGAGAAAATGCGTGAAAAATTCACCGTACACCTTCCTTACCGCTACCATTGTACAAGATCTATCTAAGATCTTCGATTTTACAATTATTTAAAAAAGATCTCTTACAAATCTGTTTCGTCGTGCAAAATCACTTGTTATCAACAAATGTGAAAAGTGTCGTGGAAATATTTTACACAAAGTTGTCGATTCTTTCAATCCCCATCGATTTTCGAAAATCGATTTTCGATTTTTTACGATTATTCCAATTATCCCAAACGATTTCTCTCCATTGATCTTTCAACTCACCAATTTCCATCGAGTATTTTCTCTCTCTCTCTCTCTCTTCTCTCTCTCTTTCATCCTTTTAATCACGTATAAGCGCCACTCATCGAGAACACCTTCTTCGAGATCGTTTCAATGACTCGATGGAAAATAGGAACGATCCGTAATCCATTAATTAAATTATCATGTTATAAGAACGAGCGCTATTCTTTCTAAATCTAACACGAACGGATAACAACATACAAAGAAACGATTTCACCATACAAACTGCCTTTCGTAATCTTTGGTAATGCGATTTATTCTCCCTTACATCTATATTCGCGTTCTTGATCCCGCACATCTTTACACGCCTCAGATATTGATCCATCCCTCCCTTCAAGGGCATGTTTGATAATTTTCAAGATAAGTTTCGGAACGAGTGAAATTTTTCGAAATTTCGATTAAGAAGATCGAGAAGGAGAGAGAGCGTGATCTTTCTATTAGATTTTTAATATTAATAAAATCTCGTTATGGCGTCGTGATTATAGTAGTAGGTTATTCGTATTGAAGCGAGAAAGGATCCACGCGAATGATGGCAGTTAAGATTTTTAGATCTTTGGGAATGTGATCTCGTGAGGTGGTTGGCTTTTTTCAACCAGCCAAACGCTTCCACTTTTGTCTGTGTTCAGGATCTGGATCAACGCCTTGGCCACGTGTTCCGCTCTGGAAAATTGTAGATGAATAATTGCCTCGAAATAACTTTTATTTAGAAAAAAAATTCGAATATTAGAAGAGTAAAATAATAATGGTGGAGTTAATAAATTATTGATGAAATAGTTAATAATGATATATTTATATTGTGCATTTAAATGTACTTATAGTCGCCACAATGATAATGGAATAATATAATTAACAATAAAGTGCGAATATAAAAATGTTGATTGAAGCTTATTTATTAAGTAGTAAACAATTTAATTAAATAAAGCGAGAAGAGAAGATAGAGCGATCTTAGTAAAGTTCGATTGTTTATAAATATTAATAAATAAATTTTAACTGAAATTTTTATATATCAACTTTTGTATCTGCTTTTCTCTTTAATCGAATCGAAGGTGTTCCACAAATACTATTTACACCCTGTATATTTTAATAGAATGTAAATAGAACAATAGTGAATAAAATAATTTAATATCATTATATATGAGTCTAAGAGAGTGAATATTATATCGATCGATATGCATATTTATAGTATGCAACCTCTTTATGCATAATAAATATAAACATTGAAAATAAAAAAAAGTTTAATGACATTATCATATTTAAATTCAATAAATAATTCAATAATTAAAATTTTGAAAAATGAATATGAAGATTATTAAACTTCAACTAATCATTATCATAAAAATATTTGTTTATTTCATGAAGCAACAATAATAAATTGCACATATATAGGCGTATAATGGAATATTCATCTATTAAAGTAATAAAAATGACACAGAAGCTTGTAATTATTATTTAAAAATTAATTTCTTACCTTTGAGGAACAGAACTAGCTGTGTCACGAAGCCAGGCGTCTACATACCGAGGTGAGAGCAACTGTTTACTGACATCTCCTAATATTTTGCTATCTGTCGCACTTGGGCACAATGCCATCACCTTTACACCGGTTAAATCCACGTGATATTGGTGCTACGATAACAATACATGATTCTATATTTAATTCCTATAATTATTATTTATATAAATAACAGTCTCGAAACAAAATGTTTTTCAAAATTAAATTGAGGAAACGTGCATTGTTAAAATTAATGAAAAAATAAAAGACGAATTATGTAAGACATTATCACGAAAATTATATTATGAAATACATAATAAAGTAAATTTATATAATTTATTATATATTTTTAATACAAGTATTAATCTTTCTGTTTATTCGTTTCAATATTTAAGTGAAGATGTGAAGGCAAAGAAAATTTTAATTTAAAAAATTGATTTACCCCAAACGCTCTGGTGAAGTGGACGATTGCCGCCTTGGTGGCAGAGTAAATTGGAACACTGGTGTAAGGGTTGATGCTGATGCTGCTTCCAATATTAACCACTATTCCACCCTGGCCACCCCTATCCGTCCCCATAAATCGCTGAGCGAGCATAGTTCCACGAATCACGCCATTCTGCAATAATTTCAACAAAGACCTCGTGCAGATAAAACAGAAAATTAAAAGAAAAAGTAGTAGTAAAACGATGAAGTCATAAAGGTGTTGGATATAAATATACTCACAACGTTGATGTCGACTTCTAATTCCCAAAACCGATCGTTCATTATACCAGCGTTATTAACAACGATATCGATGTGGCCAAATGTCTCGAACGTCGTTTGAAACGATTCTACGAATTAGATTATTCGTCAGAGATTTGATTAAAAATTTAAGATTAAATTACAATAAAATTTATTGTTACGCAGATACACTATGCAATATTATAAATATGGAATAGAAGAAGTAGAGAGAGATACAAGGAGAGAGAGAAAGAGATAGAGAGATAGAGAGAGAGAGAGAGAGAGAGAATGAAGCAAAATGAAATTAAATTTGTCACATGATCATTTAAAAGTAAAGATCTATATTTCTATTTGAAATATTTCTAAATTTCGTGCAAGAAAATTCATAGTTAACAATGTATTTTATTATTTGTATTCATATTTATATTAATATAAATATGAATCAGAATTTTTACCCTCGAATTGCGCGTAGTCTGTGACATCGCATTGACAAAAGATTACACGATCTTTTCCGTACTCCGTGGACAATGTTTCCGCTAATTTTTCACCATCTTCTGCATTTATATCGCATATAGAAACCTATATAAAAAAAATAATTGCAAAATAATTAATATTCAATGTCGTTAAACGGTAGAAACGATACAAATCGAAATTTGATAAAATATCGTAATAAGTATATCAAATAATTCCTTCAATTTTTTTTCTAACATTACAAAAATACAAATTTACTCGATGAATCGATACAATCATTTGTGTATGCGTTTATGCACGATAAACGAGTGGTTGTAGTTATGAAAAATTGTTATTCCGTGGAAGTCGGTCAGAAAGCAAGATAAAACTTCTTCTTCTCGGATGGGAAGGAAATCTAAATATAAGCGAGATATTTTTGAGCAAAAGAGTCTTGGAATATTCATGGAACGATATACATACTAAGTCAAGGTTATATCCTTAAGGAGATTTCGCGAAATGCATATAAGTAAACGCCTCTTGTGGCTCTCCTTAGCGCTCTATTAATACCCGCTTTTTATAGGTACTACGTACCATGGGGTAAACCCGTATCAACGTCACTTTCCTTAATGAAAATAGCACTATAAAGATTTCATTGCCTCTCATATTCCTATAAATGAATATCGTTATGAAAAATAGCATGTCTCGTTTCTCTTGCTAGAAGATCAATCTACTTTTTCTGACTACGAAGAATAGAACGTTTCGATTTTGGCCTCGAAAGTAGTATATTTTCATTCATGATCACGAAGAATAAATAACTTCTTCGAAACGAAAGATTGCACATTGTGCTGCGAAAAATAGAACATGTTTCATGGATTGCCTAGGATTTTGCAGCAAAAATAAAAGTTTTTCTAATGAAATAAGTGAAACTCAATGAATTTAACTGATAATCATTATAAAATTGAATATATTCTCTTTGCATGAGATCTTTAAATATTGTTGTCGATTGTTCTTTTTTTTTTAAATAATAATTGAATTTTCAGTGTTGATATTTATCGTTGCAAAATTTTTATTTCACAGTTGTTTTCACTTAAATCAAATTTCACGCTAATTGCATTCATTAACGATATTTTATGATTGAACGGAAGTTAAGAAAATATTCCTTTTGCGAGAGTTTTAAATTGTTCTGTGAATTGAAGATTTTCCTTTTTATTTCTCACTTACCATCGCGCCTTCATTCAATAATTCTATGGCACATGATTTACCAATACCGGAAGCGGCACCCGTCACCAAGGCAACTCGTCCTTTTATGTCCATCTTCTTCAGTCCCTTGTCAATTATCCGTCTGTAAATGCAAAAATGTGATATCGTATTATCACCATATTTATTGTATAAAAACAATCTATTTAAAATTATTAAAATTTAGAAATATTCAAAAAATATTTATTGAATTTTATAAAACAAGTTTATTTTATTTTATTTTTTTTATTTATTTGGAATATTTATTTGGAATATTTACGTGAAAGGATATTAATTTTATGCTTCGAATTTCATAAATCCATTTTATTTCATCTTTTTTATTTATTTGATTATTCATTCGTATTTTTTTTTTTTTTATATATAAAAATACATATAATCTTGTCACAAAATTCTGAAAAATTATTTTCGTAAAAGCTATTTACAAATGGAACAATATTAATCGAGAATAACAATTTTTATTTCACTGCTTTTGGCAAATTGATAATAATTTTTTTACTAATATAATTATTAAAATAATTTTTATTATAATATAATAAATAATAATTATGTTTTTATTAATTATTTATTAATTCGTATCAATTATTTGATTTTTTATATCAAATAAAACGAAAAAAAGAAATAAATCGTTTAAAAAACATAAATTTTTATTCTCGAATGTTCGATTAAATAAAATTCCTTTCCAAATTCCATCTCTCCTCCAAAATCAATTCAACCACTTCGACGGCTCGATTTTATTTCGAATGTTGTGTTTGGAAACAGCGCGCGACGCCGCGGCGTACAAACGACTTTCCATTTGTTGTGATACGACGCGCGACGGTCGTATCGGTGAAATCGAATTACCGTCGTTATAATCATTTCGTTCTCCATCTTCTGAGCGATAGGACACTCGAAAATTAAGACGCGTCATTTATTGAATCCGTTTCTCGTCGTGCTGTGTCTATAAAAAATACGTGTCATTAAGGAATAGGCGTATCGTTTTCTAAGAAGAAGGGGTATGGTTAAATATTTGCATATTCAAGTGTTTAGCTTAGTTAGAATGTTAATTAGTTTATTTGCAATGTAAACAGTACGATCTAAGATTAAATATTGGATTAATTATAGTTATTAGGTTAGTTAAAATAGAATTCGCTTGTAGTGTAAGTGAATTGATTGACAATTAAAGAATTGGAAGATTTTATACACAAGTATAAAATATTTATTTCAATACAGGGAAAATTATTTAAGATAAAGGATAGAGATATTGAGGTAGACATTTTATTGCGTTTACGAGGTAAATTTATAGCAGATAATCATCGGTTTTAGTCATTGATTCTTTTATAAATTTTAAATTTATTACGAAATTTGTTCTTTCTTTGTGAAATATAGATTTTATCTTTGTTTAATTTACATAATGGAAATACGTTTCGTTGATTATAGATTTAGTCAGGCTACGTTGATGACTGTGAAACACGAAAATTCATCTATTATAGACTGTAAAAGAACATAAAAAAGATAGGATTCATTTTTCATTGTTTTATAGCATTAATAAAAGAAAAATACTGGTTACAAGAATAAGTAATATCATGTAATTTTCCATATATGCATGAATCTTGATATTTTTCTAATATTCTTATTATATGTACGTTGAAAATATTCTCATACAACCATTTTCTTTCTGTGTCCACAATTTTTAAATAGGGAAGAGTCGTCTAGTATCGACCAGTACTGACTACACTTCTTTTTTCACTTCTCTCATCAGATATTAACACTTTTTTTGTAGTTGTACTCTCTTTTGGATAATTCTCTTATTTTTAAATTTATAATAATTTTTTAGATATTTATTCGTAATATGTTTTGCATATCATATTCATAATATTTAAAAAAAATTAATTTTATGAAATATATTTATCTACAAAATATAATGTAGAAAATTACTGATTTATTAAAATAAAGGTTGGTGTATAGAATCGTTTATAAAAAATTAGATACGATAGAAATTGCATTAAGAAAGTTTATTCGATCAATAGGGACAACAAAAATGTCATCAAATATCTACAAACAACATAAATATCGAATAAAATTTCCTCACGAAGAATTCAAGAGCTCAGCTATCTATGTCAAATAAAATATTCATCATGTTCCCCAGAGTTTCTAGAATTCAAAATTATTTGTTATCACGTTCGATTATCTAGGATAAAATAACGTAACGAATACGAAATAAAACAAAAATTTCACTTTAATAAGAATTATTTAAATCAGAATTAGAACAAGCAGGATGTGTTACGATTTATTTTTCGTAGAAAATTATTTTTATAACTAAAAAGTTTTCAAATATACTTTTACTCGTGAATTTTTCGGAAGAGTAAAACGTGATAAATCTCTTTCTTTTTCTTATTTTATTAAACAAGATTTTTCATTCATCGTAACGCGCGTCGAAATAATACTTAATACCACTTTCATTCTACAAAATCATCAAACGATTGTAACATATAATAATTTCATCCAACTAATTATTCGAAATAACGAAACCTTCATCCCTTCAATCCACCAACGAAAAAAGGAAAAGACTTTCGTAAAAAAAAAAAAATAAAAGGAAACCGCAAGAGGAAGAGACGAAATACACAAACGCATGGAAGATACCATCGACTCGTCGAAAACAGAGAACAGCGTCGAGGAATTTCACGCGTGCAGAGTGGAGGATTTGAAACGCCGCCCCCAATGCCGTCTGAATCTCACCCTCACTCGCGAAACAGCATCACGCGGGTTCGTTTAATATTGCATTCACCGTGACACCGGTGTCTGGCAGCCGTAGATAAACCGGCGAACACGTTTCGCTTGGTGAGCATCAGAAAGGGCCGATCTAAAAAATTCACGACGCCTCGATCGCTCGATATCAGGCACGAGGAACGCCGAGAGAAACGATTCTGGCTGACACGCATACTTCTCTACCTCTTTCACCTCCTCGAAAAATGATGCTCGACCATCGTTAAGTCTCAATGAGTTTTCCACCGTATCTTTCTTTCTTTTTTCTCTTTTTCTTTTTTCACTCTGAGAAAATCGAGCATTTCTTTAGAAAAGAATCGAGAAAAAGTAACCAGACTGAGGCCAAAACAACTTTGAATATTGTTCGATTCTTCGAGGATATTGTGACTGTGCAATTTCATTGGTCGAAGGGCGAGACGTCTATTGGGTTTGGGTTTCATGGGGTTGAATGGTGGACGTGAGGAGAGTTTGAAGTAGTTTCGATGTTTTGTCGGTTTGTATTTAACCCTTGTTCGAGAAAATTTGAATTTTGTCGAAGTGAGGATTGATTCTTGATTATCGTTGTTGACATTTATGGATCAATTTTTGAAGATTCTTTGATCGTTGTTTTGAAAATTAATTACGATTTTTAATAATTTAAAAAACGCGTGTAATTATTATATTTAATGTTGAAGAAGCAGAAGAGTTTCAGATTTAGAAGAGTTAAATGAAGAATTAGATGGGAAATAGAAGAAGTTTATGAATTATTTTCGGGATGATAAGAACTAGGAAAAAGTTTGTTTAACTATATTTTACAGAACACTGAGCATAATAAAAATTTCGATAAACGTACCACTCGAAAGATTAACTTTTTTTTTCTACAATATGCAGCAAAGCATGAAAGATAAGATAAAGTAACAGAGAAGAGATACAAATACAGACATTAATAAAAGTATTCGTATCTACATATTCTAGAGAAAGGCCATTTTGTAAACGTAGTATATTGAGAGCATATAAATTATCGAAAGTACTTATTAATATTTAAAAAAATTCTAGATAACATACAGGAAAAATGAAATGAATTATCATTACAATGAAATTTAATTTTCCATGAATGGCTTTATCTATGAAACACAGATAATGCAATATTCCGATTTTCAACTTTTAACTTTTCAAATCAAAAGTTTAAAAGGTTTCGAAACTATATCGAAAAAGAAATATGGAATTAACGAAGGTAACACGTCTCAACTTTTCTGAAACAATGCTTTTCCGTTTCGTCACGAAACAACGTGATAACGAAATAATGTTCACGCAACTCATTCTCCCTCTAAACACAGTGGTAAAGCTTTTAAAACTTTTATACAGAACACTTCCCTGAAAATTTTTACCTCATTTTTCACCACTAATTTGTCCCCAGACTCTCTACTCATCCTCTTGAGTTTTTGTGCACGATGTCCATGCATAATACACAACTTTGCCAATCTTGAATTTTTAAATACTTCATTTAAAAATTGTTCTATTCTTTAATTCGATACTTACGAATTTGGAAGAATAAATAATGCAATAAATTATTTTAAATTACCATTCTTTCGATGGTAAAAGAAATTTGTTTTAAATAAAAAAAAGAAGAATATTTTGAATTATCCACGAAGAGAGAGAAAATCCAAGCTAACGATACGAATTTACATTAATAAAAAAATATTTGCGTTTCTTCACCCTTAAAATCGTTGCGTCCTCTTATATTTTCTGTCCAAGAAGAGCAAGAAAAAAGAAGGGGTTTACCACTACCAAAAAACAAATCGAAATCAATGATACAGTTCATTTTAACAAACATCATTCCTCTGTTCTTCCTTTAAAATTCTCACATCCTTCAATTTTTTCTACGCAAGAAGAACCAAAAAAGAAGAACTAAATCCTGCACTTATTCATTTACAAATAACCAAAGAAAAAATACTTCACTTCAACGAAAAAGATCCTCCTTCAAAATTCACCCCTTATAACTTTAACATTCCCTCCCAATATAACTTCGCGAGAAAGCAAGCGACGATAACAACACAAATTACACCTACCAAACACCACCCAAAAATAAAAAGAAAGAAAGAAAAAAAAAAAGATACCCTCGAACAAAACTTCTTCTCTGTAAAACTGGTGCGCGATTTCTCTCGCGTCTCTTAAACCCTCCAAATACAATTCCACCCCCTCGTAAGAAAGCCGGAGGAACAAAGAAAATAACCAGTCCTATACACAATGCTCCACCGTCGTACCTTGCACTTGGAATCCTTGTTCCCTCGGCGAGTCAGCCGTCCCGCAACAGGCAGACCGCGTCGAAAGCGAAACGACCGGTCGAACTACGGCGACGGGGGTGCGTGTCGAGGGTGTTTGTGAGAGTGCGCGCGCGCGTTTTCCTCTCTCTGAACCCGACAAGGTGTGGTTGACGGCCGCGGACGCACTGGCTTGCACTGCTTCGCCGCCTTTCACTGCCTCCCCGTCAACGCACACACCCCACATCGGCTCGATATTGATTGGCGGCGGTCGCGTGCCACGTGACTTTTACGTAGGCCACGACCACGCACGTACTCACGCCTGTCTTCGTTTTACTACATGCTATATCGCGGATGCGTGGGTGTGCGTGCATGCGTGTGTGTGTGGGTGCGGGACGATACGATTTCGCGGGTAACGATGAGCGCGCGCCCTCGCCCTCGCAAGCCCTTAACCTTCGACCGTGGCTTTTTGTTTTCGAGGCCACGATGCTGGCCCGATACGCTTTCGATCGGCAACGACCCCGCCCTGTCGCGCCATCAGATCCACCGGATCCGGGCGATGCTCTTTTCGTTTTTTTCTTTGGCCTTCGTTTCGGTAGTTGATTAAGCTTGGGGGGGTGCAGCGGTGTGTTTAGGCTTTGTGCTTTCGAGTGTTTTGGTTGGGGGGGACACGTATCGGTCGGTGTTTGGAAATTTTCGAGGGGAGATGGTCGATTTAGGTTTTTTTTTTTAAGGAGATTGATTTTTGGGAAAGGAGGATTGGAAAGGATGGAAAAGGTTTCGTTATTTTTTTTTTTTTTTGGTACGATTTGGTACGATTCGAAAATGATGCTAGTTTAGAGATTTTTTTAATTGTAAGATATGATTAAAGCTTATTGCAAACGAGAAATTGCATCGAGAAATCGTAACGTTATTTTATAACTCGTCTTCTCGAGGATGTAATTGTGGTGAAGTGCTTTGAAATAACCATACGAGGATGTGTGTAATATACTGTTTTATATTCGTATGCCTCTCGTTTAGGGTGCGCTGCATGTGATAGCAAGCAAGGGGTTGATTAAGCGTTTGAGGTTGTATTTGGTGTTTTCATAGGGGGATTTTTGTTTCAGGGATGCGACGAACGTTGGAAAAAATAACAGCAATATTTGTTGTAGACATATTGGTTCGTTGGTATGAATATGACTTGAATGTTTCATTTTTTATTTATTTATTTTTTCTTTACTTTCTCTCGTGTTGTATATAATTTTTATTTTTCTTTCGTTTTAATTTATAATTTAAATAACTTAATTTTTTGTATGATATAATCGAGGAGCTAGCCTGTTACCATTCTCGTATCACAGACGACATTATCAATCGAGAATAAAACGAGATAACAGCGCTACTGGGATCAAAGGAATTATAATTAACTGTAACTATAAATATAATTTTAACATAAAAATACAGACTACAGATATAGATCTCCGATGATTTTCATTATTCAATGCACATTTGGGTCGCGTGATTCGAGAACTCGTTATCATTCTTGTGTCGCATGCGATATTATCGATTCAGAATGGAATAAGACAACATTTATCTATCTAAAAAATTAATAACATCACAATGCACGCTCCTCGAATCATTCAATTTTTATTTGAAACATTTCTCAATATTATCAATATTATATATATATATATCTTTAGAATTAATTCAAAAAATATGATATAACAAATACAAAATAATAAAACTAGGAGAAAATATAATAATATTAAAAACGCACAAATGAAACATACAACCCAAAAAACTATTTAATTTAAATTATACACGAAACATATTCCTAGGACATGTGAAAAATTAGAGGCAAAGTAATAACTCGAACATGTTCCATATTTGAAACTCGAAAACACGATTGAAATTATCCTCGAGTCGACGCCACGACTCGATCTCGATCGCGTTCACCATTCAGTTGAAATTCACGGCCTTCCTCTGTCATGGCCGCGACTCTCCGGTGTGCCGGGGCTCGCATCGCTAACCATAACGAATACACAGCGGAGGACGAAGAAGAGGAACGTATCGCGGAACGCGGTGGAAAGGTCGGGGCACATGGTGGCCAGCGACGCGGGTATCGCGTGGCTCGTCCGCGAGGCAATGGACGGCCGCGGAAGGATCAAGCTTAGGAAGCTTTCACGCAGCCGTATGTCGCGGGCCGCCGTTTCCGCTACCAAGCTGAAGCAGTGCGTCAGAAAACAGCCGGCTAAAATAAGGAAATGCATGTGCCTGCCATCGAATTACGCCCTCGTTGAATTCCCCTTGGTCTGGTCCGAGCTTAGGTCTGTCCGATCTCCCTCTTCATCACTGACCCTCTCCTCTTACACTCTTTCGTTCGCTGATAGGATGTTTTAATCGAGTCACGCGAATCGGTCGGCATAATCGATCGATTTGAGACGATAAATCTTACAGTTTTTGGGGGATGTTAAGAATTTTTCAAAGTGTGGTAGCGTTGATCAACATAGCCTCCGCACAGAGGCTAGCCTAGTAATACTTCGAAACTAAAATTAAACGTTTCTGAAATACTCGAATTGATCAATCTGATGGTTAAATTATACCAAATTTAATTTAGATTCAAACTAATCGAATCGAAAATTACAATGAAACAAAGAGAGAGAGAGAGAAAGAATAAAATATTTAAAGAAATTGATACGTTCAATTTCAATTTCTTTCATTTCTTCTCTTACTAATATTATAATATTGGTTGTTTTAGAGCAAACCAACAACTGTGTGATGGTGCAATAAGGTGTGCCACAGGCCACGTTTTCCCGGTGCATCGCGCTATTTTATCCGCGGTCAGCCCATACTTCAAGGCTCTCTTCACCAACAGCCTGAAAGGCGGGAAGACGGAAACCACGGAGGTCGCGATTGATTCGGTCCCCGGGAAAATTTTCAGCCTGATCCTCGATTATGCTTACACTGGCACATGCAACGTGAACGCCGACAATGTCGAACAACTTTTACCCCTCGCCGACCAATTCGAAGTCCTGGGTGTCGTTCAGCTCTGCTGCCAGTTTCTTTTGCAGGAGCTTCGCCCGGAAAATTGTTTGGGTAATAAACCATTGATTGTTAATTAAATTTCTAATTTTTATCTCGCAAGAAAGAAACGCATATAAGAAATTACATTTTATGAATATCTTGGAGACGAGCAATTATCGTATTAAAATAAGATATAATATCTTCTTTTGAAGAGATGCGCGTAAAATTGGAAAGTTACGTAAAATTAAAATTTAAGGTGAAAAAAATTTTTAATGCTTTTATGGTATTTATTTTATTTTTAGAAAAAAACTCGTAATGAAAATTAATTTATACGTATATACATATAACAACAAATAAATCTATCTCTGAAAATAATTTCCAAGAATTTTTAACTACTTTTATGCAATTAAAATTTTTTACCAACGAACATTCTTCTTCATCCTTCTTTATTTTCTTCCATATTACAATTCCTTACAAAAAATTATCACGTCGAATATTTTTCACTATATTTCACGGCAATTTACTGAAATTTTTATCGGTTTTTTTTTTTTTTTGTTTTTAGGAATCTTCAAATTCGCTCGTCACTATTTCTGCCGCGACCTAGAAGAGAAGGGCCGGAAATACATTCGCCATCATTTTAAGCGGATACTGCAAGAGAGCCCGGAATTCAAAGAGCTGACGAGCAAAGAACTTGAGGCGATTCTACGTGACGACGAGTTGAACGTTAAAAACGAAGAAATAGTTTTCGAGGCTGTTAAAACCTGGCTCGAGCATAACGTCGATGAAAGAAGGCCTTATTTACCCAGGCTCTTGAAATGTGTGCGCTACGGTTTGATGAGCTACAACTTCTTCACGAACAATGTTCTCACGTGGAAGATTATCGAGGAGGATGAAGTGAGTCTTTCTTACGATCGATTATTTACATACCATAAATAAAATTAGAATCATATAATTATAAGATTTTTATATAATTTTATTAATTTTACTACACTCTACTCTTAAAAGTTACACTTACATTTATCGTGAAATTGAAAAAATATACATAATTAAAATAAGTATAATATATCCGCAAAGGGATGATTCGTCAAGTCGAAATAAAAATTAAAATGAATAATAATAATAAAAACAAATCACTTTATTTACGTAATTATATAAAGTTATAAATACGAACTCAAGTAATGGAAGAAATTATGCCATTGAAATCACTTTTTGTTTCATTCCGATATCTCAATTAGTTACCGAGATATAAGGATTCAAAGTATACAATGCTTAAAACACGGTAGAGAAGTTTTGAATGGGTCCGTGACCTACATTTATTCCAGAAAATGTGTACGTTCTTCGAGAAATAGTAAAAAAAACTGCTTACTCGCGTCTATCACCGACCAGCCTCACTCGTCCAGAGCTTGGAATTGGTCAGTGACGAAGTGCGAGCGAGAGATCCGAGTCGACGACAAGGAAAGAGATAGTAAACGATTAAAAATTACTCTTTTCTTTACACGACGATATCTCGGGAACCGGAAATCGTATCGAGATAAATGAAAAGGCATTTTAAAGGGGAAGATTCACCGCTTCTAATGATACTTCATTCATCGATTAAAAGTCGCTACCTTCGGAGTTATAGCGATTTAAAGTTTTCCGAATTTTAATAAGATTTAAGCAAGTTTTAAAGTAAATTACGTGATATATGTGGTCGACACTGTGAGAAACACAGTTAACGATACGTGAAGAAAAAGAAAATTACGATATCAAAGACTGTGATCTTAAAATAACTGGTTGTTTTACGTTATATGAACTCACGTAGAAAAATATTCAGGAATATTTATACTTATTTTTAATATCAGTAACTAAAAATATCAATAACAAAAATGCAATTCTTTTCATTCTTAATTTTATTTCAGCTTGAGGAATACATTCCTTAAATTTTTGAACATTCTTAAAGTTTTTATGTTTCTTAAATGACGACATACACGAAATTCTTTTTTTAAAATTTATTCCAAAATATTTATCAATATTTTTTTAAATTGCCTTCTATTATATTTCGTTGTTATCATATGCGTGTCATAAAATAAAATATTTTTTTCTTTAAATTAAATTATTAATTTATCGAGCAATAAAACAATTACAGCGATTAATATCACGATTAATGAATTGTAAAATTTGTTTTCTCGTTTTGAAGTCATGCCAGCAAGTGCTAGCTCCCGCAAACCAATACCTAAAAGAGCAGGAAGCGAAGCAAGGGAGCGGCGAAATCGATTTAAACAATCCCCTGGCTAAACCTCGTATCCCTTACGAGATCCTGTTCGCGATCGGTGGCTGGAGTGCTGGTTCCCCGACGAATTTTGTGGAAACCTACGACACGAGGTGCTCGATACCTTCGTTAAACCGCAAACAGAAACAGTTTCCGCTAATAGAAACAGTAGAATTCCATTTAATAGAATTAAATTCTACTTAACTTTAATTAAATTCATTTTGATTCGGATTCAATTTTCAAAATAAGAATTTAATGATGTTGATACTTCCAATATTATATATTAGTAGTTTCTAATCAACAGATCGCGATTCATAAGAAAGGTAAAAGTAAAGTATTTTCTATGTCACTGCTCTCATTTTTAATTAATGATTCAATGACTTTTAGCATTTAAGATTCGCTTAATATTCTTCTTAGCAATATGGCTAATCACTCATAGGATAGGATCACGTTAACTTTTTTAAATTTTCCGTATCTTATATATCTCCTCTAAGGTTTTTCGACCTTATTGATTCTTTCCTGGTAAATTTAAACGGATGGAGTTCTACCGTTCTATCGCTGGTTAACAATCAAAAGATAAATTGATTTTTCACCGATTTTTCTTTTTTTCTTCTCATTTTCTCAATCGATCGCCGCGGTGTTGATTTCTCGCGTCGAATAATCGTGATCGGTTGATAGAGATTCGCACAGGTAATGTGTGTAATGTGAACTCCAGAGCTGACAGATGGTTTCTATCAGTGAGCACGGACGCGACGCCGAGGGCCTACCACGGCCTGTGCACGTTGAACAATTTGATCTACATGATCGGCGGGTTCGACGGCAACCAGCACTTCAACACGGTCAGATGCTTTGATCCAGTGACGAGGGAGTGGCGTGAACGGGCGTGCATGTATCACGCGAGGTGTTACGTCAGCGTTTGCACCCATGGTTAGTGGCCTTTTTTTTTCCTTCTTTTTCTTTTTAACCCTGCCAGGACGATGAACTTATAGCATATATGCAGGTATAACCGCGTATAAGATGACTCTGGCTCTACATTTCTAGGATTGTATTAATTTTCGAACGTTAGATTGTTACAAAATATTTTTTAAATAAATATTTTGTTTTGAGGAGGATATAATCGTTAAGGTTTAAAGCTATGTATCTTTTCTGAAGTAATGACTTTTTTTTTTTTCAAAGAAGTCATTAATTCTTGTCGAATATTTCTTTGTAAAGAGATAATTTGCATAATCGATTGAATACATCAATTATTATACTGAAAAATTAGAAAAAAAAATGAGGTCTCATCATTTAATCAAGAATTCAATGCTCTCTAAATGAAAGAAAAAACAATTGATTAACTTTTCCACCAAGGAACGCAGTGTTGAAATTTAAATCTCAAATGTTCCTCCGATTATAAAATTGCTTCAATTCCCAATCGTTGGTTGAATAAGTATACGACAAAAGATAAATTGTGACTGGGACGAACAAAAGACAAATACTTTAATACGACGAGAATCACCCCATACGTGACTCATTGGCCATTAGGAGGAAAGATATACGCACTCGGCGGGTACAATGGCCGCACTAGAATGAGCTCAGGGGAAAGATACGAACCGCAAAGGAACCAATGGGAGATGATACCGCCGATGCACAGGCAGAGATCGGACGCGAGCGCTGCCGCCTTGCAGGACAAGATTTACATCGTCGGCGGTTTCAGCGGTCGTGAAGTTCTGAATTCCGCGGAGGTATTCGACGTGGAGACCAATCAGTGGACCTACATCCATCCGATGATCAATCCGCGGTCTGGCGTCTCTTTGGTCGCGTTTCGAGACAGCCTTTATGCGTTGGGTGGCTTCAACGGCTTCATCAGGCTTAGCTCTGGTAACTTGAATCACGATTACACACGATTATTTAGTTTATATTACGATTGGAAGATTTTCGACGGTGAAATAAACGGTTTATGTTTATAAATTTTTCGATACTTTTGATATCGCAGGTCGCGAACATTCATTTTTTAATAGAAATTCAATCTAATTAAAATTTTGTTTTGTGTCTAATTGAAAAATTAATCTTTCCTGAAATTTCTGAAGTTCTTAGCTTCTAATAAAAATTCTCTTGCTAAAAGTTTTTGAAAATATTTCGATAGTAGTGTAAAAATATTTTGAAATTTCTCCGAATATCGGAGTATTGGATTAGAAATTTTGGCGCAGAAATCTGACGCCCCATAGAAATTAATGTTCCCAGCTACAATATCGACCTTATGATCTCGCAGGGGAGCGTTACAATCCGAATCATTCGGAGGATTGGCACGCGGTTCCAGAGATGTTCAGCCCCCGCAGCAATTTCGCCACGGTCATTCTGGACGACATGATATTCGTCGTTGGTGGATTCAATGGTAAGGCAGACCTGGATATTAATTGGGAGGAATACTATTAATACATAGACACATACGTATGCATAGTCAATGAATACAGATTTGAACGAATGCCTCTGTAAAATTCGAATCACTCTTTGAAAGTTTAATGAGAATTATTCTTTTAATCATGATGCAATAATTCTTTCGATTTTCAAAACGTTTCAAAATTTTCAACGATACTTTAAAAAGATTGTTAAAGACTTAAGGATCTCGTCTAATTTACGTTATAAATTATGGATATATATATGAGAAAAGTTTCATAAGAATACGAAAATAAAAATCTTCAAAATAAATTTAATTTCGTGATAAATAATTAAATATTTCGTGTTTCATTCAAAAGGCTCGACAACGATTGCATACGCGGAATGTTACGATGCGGACAGCAATGAATGGTACGATGCATCACCGATGAATTTGAATCGTAGTGCCTTGAGTGCATGCGTAATCTCTGGTCTCGCGAATGCACGTGAATATTCTTATCACGGCAAGGCGCGAGATCTTGGTCAAGGTTAGTGATCTTTGAGTGAATAATAATAAGGGAAATAAAAAAAGAAAAATTATTATTCTAAGAATTTCACGTTGATATATGATATCGAAATTCGTTTTTTATAAGTTTATATTTCTTTAATTCCTAACTCGCATCAAGTTTAACCTTCGACTGATTAAATAATGTTTATTCAATCGTCAGAGAAAGTTTGTAATAGCTGCTTGATGCACTTTTTATTTATCTGTTATATAATTTTGTAATGCGAAAATACTTTCCAAAGTTAAGTGTTCTTTCCTCAAGATTTAATTAAGAAATTAAAAAATGTATTGTTACTAACGTAAAATATAAATAATTTAGGTCAAGCTTCGTCAGAGAATCAACAGAAAACCATCCAGGGCGGAGAGGGTGCAGTGGAAACGAATGCCAATATTTCCACCGAAGAAGAGGAGACGGTGAACTTCGATGAACACGTTCAGAGGGAGGTGATCCCCATGAACGAGATGGCTGAAAGTGTCGGCAATTATTTAGGATAATCCGACACTGTTCAGCGCGCGAGATAGAATTTTCAAAATTTAAAAATATAAAAAAAAAAACAGACATTATTTCGGAAGATGATTGTTTCACGAATACGCAAGATTTTTCTATCGCCATTTTATCAAAAACACTATGAAAATAGCAGACAAATTCAATTCTAATGTTTAATATGGTGTATGAAATAAATAATCCGATGTATCTTCTAAATAATAGTTTCAATTGAAAAATATTTCGAACGAAAGTTATATACCTTTAAAGAAGTATTTTCTTATAAAATGAATAATGCATAGAATATACACGATGATTAAATTAGTTTTCTTTTTTTTTAAATTTAGAAAAATACATCATTGACGATCATACGATCTCCTTGACATCGTTCAACTTTCAGAATATTTTTCATCGATAATTATTATTTAAAGAGCAAAATCAAGAAATAGATCGACAAATTGAACATAAACTTTCTGCAGAAAGAAATAATCACATGGCGATGTAAAATTCTCAAATATTCGTGAAGCGAAAAAAAAAAAGAAAAAAGAAAAAAAAAGTTTGAAAGAAATAAATTTATAGGGATAAATAAAGAAAAAAATTAATAGACAGGACCAGAGGCTTAGGAAATAAAAACATGGTAGGTATACAGAATTTATCAAGTTAACCATTTTTTTATATTTAGTTTTACGATAAAAATTTGTCGCGTAAAGCCTTTACGCGGGTTTTAACGAAAATTAGGTCTTTCAATTTTTAATCGAAAATCGCAATTTTGTAAGTGATATTATTTTTCTGTTAAACTATTATTTATCTTTTTTTTTTTTTCATTTTTTTTTTTTGTCTTCTTTTTATGGAGGACTTGCGCCTCGTGAAATTTTTTTCAAGGTTTCCCCATCCACGAGGATCATGGATTTTATCGATTTTCGTATTAGCGAATAACTTATGAATTTTATTGTGACTTTGACAAATTTTTTTTTTTCCTCTCGTTAAGACGTTTTTTTCCCCTAACCGAGAAGTGCGATTCGAAATAAAGATACACATGCACGGTTGTTTCAATTCTGGCGTGCCAGAATTTTTTTGTTCTCCCCCCCTCCCCCCCCCCCTCCTCCCCTTTTTTTTCCCTCTTTCTTTTTGATTAATAATTAGTCGAATCTAAATTGTTATTTTTTGATGTATACGTTTTTCTTGCCCCTGCACGTGTATCTCATATAGCACGATTATTCTTTTTTGGACGAGATCCTGTGCCTTGGTCTGTTATTTTAATCGAATAAAATTTATACCGATTAAGAACATGCTTATCTTTTGATTTTTGGACATTAATTTTTATCAAGATTAATCATTACATTTTAAATTAAAGATACAATTTGATTTCTTGGAAAAAATTTATATGTGACAATTGCCACACTGAGCTCATGATTATCAATTGAAATGATTTATGTATCTATGCATTCAAGAACCGTCGTATTTTCGGATATTTAATATTTGTAGATAATATTTGTACATGAATCCTTCGTAAACATTAATTTATTACTAATTTTATCGAAATTTTTTATCATCGATGCAAGTATTAGAAAAACAGTGAAATAAAAAAAAATATAAAATATTTGAGAAAAAGAATAGAAAATTTTCACCTGACTTTTTCGAAAATATTTTTCTTAAAATATATCTGTACATCAGTAAAAATTATGGATACAACATTTTTTACAAGATTTTAAATTATTTCTCTTCATGTTCACTTAAATAAAGCTGGTTCCATCCTTAAAAAAAAAAGAAGAAGAAAGAAAGAAAGAAAGAAATCATAAAAACACAACAAAATTAATGAACAATTATGCAAAGAAAGAAACTTGAAACAATATATGAAATCAAAAAAGCAGGATAAACAATTGTGACAATGATATCAAAAAATCCGCTTTTTTTTTTTTATTAATCTATCTCATTTATGTATACGTAGATTTATTCACTTTTCATATGCATCCATATATTTATGTATAGTGTATACATTGTTGTTACTTGTTGTTCATTGACGGTTGCATTCTCCGCAACTACAAACGATTCTCCATCGATTTAGTTCCCCTCATTCTCTCAATCTCCATATTCCTTCATATCTCCCCGCAAACAACGTAACCACCGTTCGATCGACGATCGTTTCATACACCAACGACACTCGAGTTTATCGACTCTCGATTACGATTGCGCTGTTTACGATTGTCGAGCGAATAACAGGGGCGAGGTCTATCGAAACGTTCCAACGATCGTGCAATATCCGAGAGAAGAGGAGGAAACGCGACCGAAAACGTTGGAAAACATCGTTCTTTCCATCCATATCGTCGCGTATTCCTTCCTTCTCGCTCGTTCTCCTCCCTTCTTTCCATTCTTTTTCTCGATCCGAACGCTTAACGAACGCTCGCTTTTCGTCTCTCTTTTGTTTCGAAAGAACCATCATTCGTTCTCTCGAATTCCTGTTCGGCCGAAATCACGTCACAAAAGATTGTACAAAAAGACGACGAATGGCACGTTGGCCATCGAGGAAAATAAGGGCGAACGCCTCTCTTCAGGGGATGAAGAAAAGGCTTCCTAATGCCTCGTGAACACTGGTGTCTCGCTTTTCGATTCTCTTCTGATCACGCTCACGCGAACGTTAACGATGGATCGTGTTTGTTGATTAGAATTAATTTTTATTGGTAAATTTTTCTTCTTTTTTTTTGAAGATATAATTGGGCACGAAGTTAGCCATGTTTGATATTTGGTATATTTTGTTAAGTGTTATATAATATCGAGAAAAGGTGCAATTTCAAATATATAATTAATATGTATAAGGATAAATTTGCAAATTGTTGGTAACCGATTTTTATATTTATTATAATAATTTATAATTACTTATTCGATATAAAAAGATGTCACTCGATTTAAATTCGCGTCAGCGTGAATCATTTATAAGTCCATATCTGAGGTCTCTTGCACGATAATTTATTTTAAGTAGTAATATTATGATATTAATGAGTTACAAATTGCAAATTATATAGACGTTTTAATAAAATTTTACGTGAAATATAAGTTAAATTGTAAATTTGTAAATTTATTTATAGAAATTCTATAAGAAAATCTGTTTGGTTAACAAATTTTTTCACGTAATTGATATTATTTCAATCGTGCAAGAGAACTTTTCCAACATCGTACATCAATCTTCACAATGATCAAGCTAAAAATCACCTTAAAGCAATGAAATTTATAAAGGGAACATTTTCTATAAGTAAAACATGATGATTTCATATCATTTTCTTTGAAATAAAAATAAAAAAAGCTTGCAGTTTTATTAACAAAAAAATGAATAAATTCAACAAAAAGAATTCACCAAAAATCTAAATTGACTAGTTTCAAATTTTTTATTTTTACAATTACGTAAAAATATATATATATATTTTTGACAAAATTGATATTAATTTCTATCCAATTAGAAATACAAGTATTTTTATAATATTACTTCAATGTTAACTGCACAATTAGTATAAAATCAACATTAGTCGACAAAATTGTCCTTAAATGAAAAATAAGTCAAACAACAATGTTCCCTCTATACGCATATTTTATTTTATTTAACTCCAAGGTTTTAAAAAACATTGATTAACATTACAGGGGGGGGTAAGAGTAAAAAATCGACACCCGACTACAACCGCGTCGTTATTATGTATTAATCGTACAATTAAACGCGACGACGTACAATTGAGCAAACAATAGGACAGCAATAAAAGTTTCTTCGATCCATTCGAACCCTTTGTTCCTTTTAATCCCATCGAGTCCTCTTCCACCCCTTTTTCGCTCTCTTTCCATCGATCGACAATAGGAGATAAAAACAAGATTCACGTTCCACGATTATTTTTTTTCTTCCTTTTATTTTCTTTCTGTTTTTTTCTTTTCCGCGTGAAACTCGAGAATTCGAGTGGGACCGTTTATACAGAAAACGACGACGAAAATGCGTCACGAGGACGCTGGAACGAGATCATTCGTGCGATTGATACGATCATTCGAGATATTACAAATAGATTAGAAAAAGGGTATACGTGCGAGTGTGCGACGAACGACGGCTTGGTATTTAATTAATGAAGAGTGGAGGAGAAGCGAAGGGAGAGGGGTAAATTTGATGAGTTTGTTTCTTTTTTTTTTTGAAGTTCGATCTTTTGGGTTTGGCTTTCAATGATGAAAGAACGAGAATGGTTTTTTTTAAAAATTATGGTTATCTTGATTGATTAATGAAAAAAGATAAAATTTACTCAATTTTTAAATGAATTTTTTTAATGAAGTAAGAACGATAATGTAACTTTATAAAATTAAATACATTATGTGATAAGATAATGTGAAAGATGAGGTAATTTATTTAGATGAATATAGAAAAGTTTTTAAAGTAGTAATATTAATAATGATTAAAATTGTAACAAGTGAAAAAATTTTTAATATCAGAAAACCGTGGATAAAATTACATTATAATAAAAAAAGATCTAATAGTTTTTCAACATTCTTGGAGTTCTTTTTTTTTTTTAGAGAGTAAATACATTCAAGAATAAACAGCAATAAGTCGACGATAATTTGCATTTTCAACACAATATCCATTAGTGAAATGAATAACTCTTTAGAACTCTTGGCAGTTTTAATCTCAAATTAAGTTTCAAATTTATTTGAGAGTAAAACTATTGAAAGTCACTTTTGAGAATATCTTTTCACAAATGAACATTGCATCGACAATGATTCTCTGTAGAATAATTTTCAAATGCATTCGAATCCTTTCATTTGACAATACGAAGAAAAGACCATTCTCAGAATATTTGAACAACATTTTCTCCTCGCTTCCAATCCACTCGATAGTCCAACGATCGTAAATAGCGACAGAGCGTAAAGATATTAGGAAAAAAAAAAAAAACAATCGAAACGATGCGATCTTACAGCTGAACAGGAAAAATCTCAAAGACTGTTTTCTTTTTTTTTTTTTGTGCTTGACAATTACGAGTGTGAAATTCAGATGAACGAAGACGAGTACGAGATATTTATTGTGGTCCTGGATGAAACTGTACTCGTGTTTCTTAGAATTAGAGATGAATCGTGTATAACCGATTCGAATGTGCGCGTAACGTTTTCATTTTCGTCACGGTGTTAAAAGGCTTACACGACGATTTCATAGGTAAACGTTTAGATTGGGCGCAGTGGATTTTACAATTAACGATGTTGCGCGAGAATCACCGTACGACATTGCAATTTTCGTTTTTTAAAACAAATGGAATAAAGATGGCGCGTCGTTAAATATATATTTTAAATATATATTCTAGTTAATGTTCAGACACACGAGATAATTATTTGGAATATTTATTATTATATGGTAAGTTTAATACAATGTTTGTTAATTACAATTCTTTTTGTAATATTTGAATCCCTTCTTTCATATAAAGTAAAAAAACAAAATTAAAATTGTTTTATTGCCATAGAAGCATTATAAGTTATAAATAATGAAAGAGAGAAGAATTATATCTCAGTATAAAATATAATAATTAATAAAATAAATTAAAAAAAACTAATAAATTTAAAAATTCAAATATTTTGAGAATGGAATATTTAAAAATCGGTATGTAGTGTCTGAATACTAACATAATATTTTTAACAAAATTATTATATTATCTATTAAATAATATAATTATTAATATTATTATTAACTATAAAATATTAATTTAACTTAAAATAATAATAGTTTGCAATTTTTAATAAAATAATAAACATTTAATAAAATGATTAATTACATAATCCTTATAAAAATAATTGTGATATAGTAAAATAATTGTTTATAAAATAAAACAATAGATGCTTAATTAATAAGAGAAGAAAAATTCTTAAAATCACAAATCGAATATTATCAATATAACCTTTTTTTCTTTTTTTAAATCTTCTGAAATAATAAATTGCCATAATCGTACAGCGTATCTCGTCGCCTCATGCCCTCTCCTCTTTCCCTTTAGAAAACGTCGAAATTACACACGTACTTCTCTCTCTCTCCCATACTTTCGATGACATTCACGATTAGCAATTTATCAGACGCGAAATTTAACCACGCGTCTTCGTTGCTTCGATTTACGATTAAATGTATAACATTTTGTTTTTTTTTTTATTATTTTTTTTTTATTTTCTTTTTTTTTTTAATTAGATTGTTCTGAGCAATTGAGATCTAGTATTGGAGGGATTTCATATACCTGAAAATATTTAGTCACTTGCCTCGTCTCTCTTCCTATTCTCCTCCTCGTCTTGCTCCTGTTCGTCGATTTCTCACCATTTTCAATTTTTCACTTTCACTATTCGAACTCAAAACACCATTTACAAATATTCAATCTTCTCCGTTTTTTACCTCGATTCTTTCGTGTCCTCTTCTTATCTTCGCAATCTCGATGATTCCTTGTCATATCTCTTCGCTTTTCTTCTTTCTCTTCTTTAAAACGTTACGTTGCCATTTTTATTTTATTCCTTTTTTTTTCTTTGTTTGTGTGTTTCGTTTCTTTTTTTAAATTTAGAATACTCTCTCTCTCTCTCTCGCTCGCTCGCTCGCTCGCTCTCTTTCACACATTACGCGTCTCATCCATCCTCCGCACACCGCACTCACACTTATCTGAGAGTAACAATTGACATGCGTTTCGTAACTTTCCTAGCGTCTAGACAATGTATCCCTGCATTGTCTTTTGAATCCTTTTTCTTTTTCTTTTTTTTTTTTTTTATTATTTTTTCAAATATAACGTACTTCGTACGATATTTTTCTCTTTTTTTTTCTTCTTCTTTTTTTTGTTCGACACCAGGCTACGATAAAGGAAGCCACGGTGAAATCCGTCAAGCGATGCGCAACGTCGCTGCGTTCTCTCGAGTCTTAAAGAGAACGGGGGGGGGGGGGAGGGAAGGCGAGTACAAGTTTTTCCTTCTTTCTTTCTCGTTTCGTTATTGATGTGTCCGAACGAGATCCTTCGTTTCTTCTTTTTTTCGATGAATGATCTTTAAACGGATTTTTTTCTTTAATCGAAATCAATGATGGATGCTGACGAGGCTCGATCCTTATCCCTATTTCATTTCTCAACGATGACTATTCGGCTAATTTTCCCTTTTCTTTTTTAATTTTTCTTGCCTCGGATTTCGCGATAGGCCGAAAACTCGATACTTGAATCGGGCGAGATGAGATGCGTTTGGGATGGTTTGATGTTGTTTGTTTACCTATATATATAACAATTATCGACAATTTCTATTGATTATTTTGAAATATCATCGCGTTATTTTCTAATCTTTGAAATATTGTAAATTTGTTGTTGTTGAACAGGTAAATGAAAAAAAATTAATTGAATAGGATGCTTGTTATATAAGGATATATCGATTTTATCTAGATAGAAAAATAAATGATGTAAATATTTATAATGTCGTGACAAGATCGAATATAGATAAAAAAAAGCGGAGCATTCTTATTACATTATCACATTTATCATCACCGCAAAAGAAGTTTCAATTCCAGTTCTCGCTAGGATATTATATCATCAATTCCCATTCAATTCAAGTTTCAAATCACTGACTTTTCAATTAGTATTCCCGGTTTATACAATCGACAAGAGTATAATTTAACATATATAAAACGAAATATATCCATATTTCTTTATTGATTTCGTTAATAAACAACAATTCACAACAGTAATTGTTAATATAAAATTTAACTAATCGAAATTTAAGAAACAATTTTTCAAGAAATACGAGAATACTGTGTAATAATCAAATGCTAAACACTATCCCCATTTCCATCCAGTTCTAACTATATTCTCAAGGAGACGACGCACTTTCTTCCAAACGCTATTTTTCCTCTAAAAGCATTCTCGCATCGTCGAGCAACGACAAAAGCGCGAAACAAGCATCAAACCATCCATTACAAAACCAATTCTCGACCGACACCTCATTCAGGCAGAAAGCCAGTTGCAGGTTGAAACAACAATGCAAATAGGCCCCGTAGTTCTTCTTGCGCAGGCAATATATATATAGGTCCATTTTTAGAATCGTTCATTTTTGATGATGAATCGCGAATGAAGGGGACGCGCTCGATTTCATTGGCTCATCTTCGATGACCGCCAACGCTTCGCCGATGGAATGACACTTAGGAACCTAACGAGAGAAACCGATCGACGACGACGTTCATAATCTAAAAACATGTTGTTCCGAACGATGCGGCCGTACTTTTTTCTTTCTTTTTTTTCTTTTTCTTTTTTTTTTTAATCGTGTAAAAACGTCGAATTGCCCCGCTCCCGATCGATCTAACGATCTGTGCGGATCGTTGGAAGAAGAGAAACGGAGCGAAGCGTCGCGAAGGAGGATCGATTAAATCGGTTCGAGGTTGGAGAAGCGGGGCAATTGTCGAGCAGGACGAGGGTTAATTTAATCCTAATGCGATCGAAGACGACACGGAGAGTTACGAGAATCCGCTCTCGACATTTTATTTTATTTTATCTACTTATTATTTTTCTTCTTCTTCTTCTTTTTCTTCTTCTTCTCCGTCTGCTGCTAATAATTCGCTATTATTAGACTATTTTTTTATCTTCTTTCGTTCCCTATCTTCTTCTTCTTCTTTTTTTTTCCTTGTTTTCATTTTTCTATTTAACGATTCACTGTTTTGCGTTTCTAGGCAGTCCGTTCCTTATCTGAAGTACTTGAGACCGGCGACCAGCAGGAACTTCTCGATGAAAAGCTCGGAATCGAGGACGGCGATGTGCGCGGCTCGGCCAATCAGCGCGTTGGCCGTAGCCGGCAACGCGTGATGCACGTCGTACCTGACCAAACTCACCCCCGAGGAGGACATCACTGGGTAGAGGATGTTGTGCACCATCTCACGATACGCTGCGCCTGTGAAAAGGGACATTGGTTTCGTTAGACGTTTGTTTATTTTGATTTATCATGATTTTTTGTCGAAGTAGGTATAAAATGTAGATCGATATTGATATTTTTAGAATCTTAAAGAATGATAAAATTGGTAAATAACGATACAATTTTAAGTGGTTAGTGTAGGAAAAGGACGAGACATTTAGATATTTTATATTTGCAAGTTAAAAATGTTGGAATGACATACATGTATGATGAAAATAAGAACGAGGGAAAATATTTTTCACTTTGCTACAGTTAATATATAAAAATTTTATTATTTAATAAATATCGTTTAACGATGAATTGTTCGAGTACCTTTAAAGGATCAAACCTTTGTTACATACTTTTTAATTACAAAATTTAAATTGAGATAATATACAATAATAAATAAATTTTTTCATGAAAATCTATTGATTTTCTTTTCAATCAAAATAAATTGGATATAGGAAATTTCTTCAAATTAAATAATAATAATCTCCAAGGGATTAATCCCATCTCGAAAATAAATTTCACCCTCACAAATGATATCTATAAAATATGAGACGTAAGAAATCGCAATTCCTCGACCTAAAGTTCCAATACGTTTCTTCCTTTTCACAGTAGAATTTCTTTGATAAAAAAAAAGAAGAGAAAGAAAGAGAGAGAGAGAGAGATAAGACGAATAGGAATCTACGTAAGGTTTCTCGATGGAAGCTTCTCTTATCCAACCGATGCTCACCCGGGATTGACCGGTTCAATAAAGTCGTATTATCGGGACATAAATGAAAAATAAATGTCGATTACCTTGATCGGTCGAATCCCGCACAGCGGCTTTGCACAGCTCTATACGAGCGGAATGAAGGGGCACGTATCGATCCTGCGCGCTACCGCACAGGAGGACGTGTTTGAACTTTTCGAGATTGCTCTTCTGGCTGAGGCGGAACATGAACGATCGTCTGACATCCGACGCGTCTTTCATGGCCAATTGTAACAACGAGCCGGATTTCTTCAGTTTCTGCATGAACCACATACCTGGACAGGATTTCATTACGTTTGAAAATATATCTGTGGTTTGGTGGAGATTGACGATATTGCTTGTCGTATATATATAGTTTTTTATTCAAACCATTCTTCTAAATGTAATTTCATTATTTAAATTGTGATCAAGCGAGATTAGAAATGAAACGAGTTTTACGAGTAATATTTTAATAGTAATATTTTGTGTTTTATATTATCGGTGTTTTAATTTTTAATCAATAAAAATTTGTAATACTAATATTATTGATATTTCGACGTTTCGTAGATTGAGAAAACGAAGGAGAAAGAAGAATAAGAGCCTTTCGTCTACTAGAAGATTCGTTAGTAGGATTAACAAGTCTTGGGATTGTAAAATAATTTCGATGGCAAGTATCATTACATTATTCTTATATTCTTTATTACGATTATTTTGATAAAGATTATTTAGACATTTAGAAAATTCTTAAAAAAATAAGAAACGATTTAAGGTTTTCGAGCTCACCTGCATTAACTAATCCACTGGTGTTGTACAGTGTACCCAAGTGTGGACCGCTTAGGCTGAGAAAGGTATGTAAACGTGGAAGAAGCGGTCGTAATTGAGGCCGCGTCAGAGCGCTTCTTATGATGATGGTCCCTAAAGAATGTCCGATGAAGCTCACTTTCGTTGGGTTCAAGCCCGACGTCTCGATGTGATGGAGAATCTCGGCTACCAATCGATCGGTCATCGTATCGAAATCCGAGAAAGTATCACCCTTTTCAACAAACGTAAAAATAATACGTAATAATTCATTCTCGAGGAAAAAAGAAAACTATCTATATAAATCTATGCGAAAGAGGCACAATTCTAATATCCTCACCCTGCAAAATAATATCTCTATCGTACTTCAATTATTTCTTTCGAAAGCTATAATGAAAAGCTTTCGAAATTTGTCACCTCCCCTTTGTTTGTTTGTCTCAACGAAAACCCTTTTAAAAGGACAAATAAATCGGAAAAACGAAAGGGATTCTTATTAAAAAATGTTCACCTGATTTCTCTCGGACATTAAAAAATCTAGATGCGCCCCGGGAAGACTGAGTTCCAAGTACGTCTTGACCAAACGAAGATCAGCGGGGTTGCCGTCGAGACCGTGGACACAGATGATGAGATGGGCACCTTCCGGCGAGAAGAGGCGATACTCGTTGCTGATGTGGAAGTACGGCATGGTCGAGGCCAGGGTCGGATAATCACTAAGAGGCACATTCGATCTTAGAGGTTTTACCGACGACGGGGTCAGGAAGTCACCGTATCCAAAGGAATGGGCACGTTTATGGAAACGCAACTGCGCTTCCTTGCGTTCTCTAGAGAGGATAAGGTAGACAAAGAGAAACTTAACTACGAAAAAACACAAATAGACAGACGAAAGCTATGGTCGAAACTCAAAGAGAAAAAGCGGGTATCGTGTGATACAGCCGTGGATATTTGCGAACAAAGGAGGAAGAGAAAACAGCGAAAATAATATAATAACTGCACGGTACTAAATCGTATTCGCTTGCTTGAAATGATAATTCTCTCGAAGGTGAGAACGGGTGTCAGAACGAAGGAAGAGCTATTCAGAGGATTTTGTAAATCTTTTCATATTTTTCCTTTTAGCGTTGCAAGTGACTAATATTTGGGCAACGACGTGCGCTACTAAATTCTTAGCAAAATTAATTCGTAATACTGGTGAAGCATCAAGGATACTACTATTCTAGAGAAACACAAGTTGTTCTAAACTTTTTGAAATTAGATTCGCATTTAATTCCTGTTCTTATCCATCGATACGCCATGAATAAATTAGCAATTTGAAAAATTCGCAGCCTGCTAATGAATGCATACGATCTTCAACATATTTTAGAAAATCTGTTTCCTTAACGTCCAACAAGACTTCTCCAATTTTAAACACGCAAGCTGTAAACCTTTCAAAATACAAACCTGGCGAACCACACTCCCCCAAACCATGTGAAACTCTTTCTCATCGATCAACAACGCACCTGTATATTTTCCCCGAGAAGCTCATCTGCCTCTTGAACTCCTCTTTGCACTTCTTGAAATTAATCGCCTCGTCCTGCGTCGATTGCAACATCTCCTTCCCCTCCTGATAGCAGTCCAAACAAATATCCCTAGTCCCGTATGGAGGATCCCTCTCCCTCTCCCTCTCCCTATTCTTCTGAGGGCTGCAAGGGGCGGTTTTCGTCTGTTTGGGACTTCTGACCGGTTTCACCGTTTCGTAAACGTGGTAAAGGGGATTGTCGATGATGGCCGGGGGATCGCGGAATTCCTCTGGGGGCGGTGGCTCGTCCTGGAACATCTTAGGTGGCGGGAGGCGCACCTCCTCGTACGAGTGCTCCTCCACGCTCTCCTTGGTCGGGGGAGGCCTCTCCCCCTTCCTCGGTACGATTCTCGACAATTTCTGACGGAGCTGCTCGCTCGACAGCTTGGCGTTCCTGCGCTGCTCCGAGCTCGACGTGTCCCCGCTGCTCACCCAGCCGGAACACTCGGACGTCAGGTTGCTGGAGCTGGAGCTGGTTGTCGGGCTGCTTGGTCTGCTGGACGGCGGGCTGAGCGGGTTCGGAATGACGGGAAGATTGTTGCTAAGGCTGTCCTTGCTGTCGCGGATCGGCATGCAAGGCAATGAAACCGCGCTCCGTGGCACTGACACCTTGTTCTGCGCCACGGGCACGCTGGCGCATCTCAGTCTTTTCACGCTCGGCGTCGGGCCGCCGGCGCTCGATGTGTCGGAAGGCGTCGTGCCGTTCGTAGCCGGTGTCTCCATGGGGGATTTGATGGGCTCCACCTGCGGCATAAACAGGATGGTTCGATCAAGAATTGAAGCAT